AAACAAAAGCAGAGGAAAATCTGGCAGACATATCACTTGTTCTTTTTTTCAAAAACAAGTAGAATTCAAATTACCAAACAAAATAAATAACACCAAATTTAGTAACATATTTTTAAATCAATTCAAATCCACCTTTTCAAAATTGATTTCATATATTTCCAAACTATAATTTGATTGTCCATACTTATGTCACTCACTAAATTTTGTAAGCATTAATTTGTCAATAGTATAAAAAGCATAGATAAACTACCATATTTACAAAAACCCAGAGTCACATGTTCCTTCAAAAAAGCGGTTTAGAATAAAATCAAAGAAACTATAAACATTTTAAACTTCAAACACATCTTCCACACCCCTCTGTAAAAAAATAAGCCCAATATAGCCACTAATATCGCACATTTCAATCATTTCCCTCTAAAAAGTATAATATGGAAAGAATTTTTACTTAAATTCTGGAATGGCAGGTAGTAGTTTGAATAATGGAAGATACTAGGCAATATTCTTCAAGTAGTTCATAAAACTAGATTTCCTATTTCTTTAGCACTTCTTTCTCATTAATAGACATTGCAACATAGCTTGAGGTAAAACCAAAACTTATGGCATCAAATGAATGCACCTTTGAGTTTTTGCAAATGCATAAAGGGTATTTTTGAAAGGTTTTCTTAACAAGCAAGCAAACAAAAAAGGGTTAGAAAAAAACAGTAATTACTCTTTTGCTAATTTCAAATAATATATTACCTCCACACACATATAAACTCTCTGATTATTTTAGGGGGTACTTTTCTTATAAACCAAAGTACCAACCAAAGAAATGAAATTGAGAAAGCAAATATCTGACCCAGAAATTACCCAACATGTTTTCCATAATCTGTGCAGAACCAAAGTTATGCACCATCTTTAGCCAAACCAAGTACACATCTTTCTGATTGGAAAGTTTTTTTCCTGAATCAGGGAGAAAGCAAATTTACTCATAGCCTAGATAGCCCAGTATAGTATGGTTAACGCCATAAGATTCTAGAAGCAGAGAGCCTGGGTTGGAATCCCTCCTCTACCATTTACTAAGTATATCTTAAGTTACTCAACCTATAAAGCCCTTAGGACAGTGCCTGGTACAGAACAAGCACTCAGTAGATGCAGGGTGGCAGCAAAGCTCTAGATCTCTGCAACTTGGCATCGGTTGGGAGACTGTCAGAAATTCAAACTCTCAGGTCCAATTCCAGACTTGCAGAGCCAGAACCTACAATTTTATCATGATCCCTTTACGATTTGGATGTAAATTAAAATTTGAAAAGAACAGCTAGAAAGCATTTTTACATTATATTCGGAGATATTACCTATAATAATTAATTTTTTAAGAACCACTCCATTGCTCTTCTGAAGTTACATTTATTTTTAGTAAAAGGCAAAGTATTATTTGGGATAAAAATTCCTCCGTTAGTGATTTTTTACCATACCTCTGTATTCAAAGGGAGACCCAACTAAAGCCCAAAGTTGTAGAGGACTGCCATCTAGTGGTAGTTCATTCTGATACACATACCAAATAAACTCCCTCTGCCTATCAGTACTTTAAACACATTTGTTTAAAATGCTGCTAGGTTTTCTTTTTGCTTAATTCCTTTCTTGAGGACTACTGACACGATTACCCAACTTAATAATTCCACAAGAAGACATCTTAAATACAGAGGAAGGTAGAAGACAAAAATTTTTCAATTTCCTTTTTTAAACTCAGATTAAAAAAAAAAAAACTCAGATCAAGTGATCAAGCCTAGGGAAGTTTTCAGATTAAAAGACTGACCCGCTCTCTCTCCTGTAAAGGTGCACATCAGACACACAGTAGCAGCATCAGGTTTAGAAAATAGGCTTTCTTTTGAAATGTGCATTTCTTGGGGTAGCTTCTACTTTCTTTTTCCTAAGTTCTGTACTTTTTACAATATATTTATATAGTTTGCAGGAGTGCTTTTTTGAGAAAAAAGTATTTTGTACCCTTCTGACTCAATAACTCCACTTCTACATTCTATCCTAGGAAAATAATAAGAAACATGGGCAAAGATTTATATTCAAAGACGTTCATTTCAGTAAACCAAACAATCTCAACAGCTTCATAATAACCCACTGAATCTATGCATCAAAACTTACTTAATCATTCTCCTCTGTTACTCATTTAGATCACTTCTAATTTTTCTATATTGCAAATAAATACATGTATATACAAAAGGAAGGAAGGGAGGACAAAGAGAAAGGAAATAATTAAATATATGGCAATTTGATATGACTTTTTCACATTTTGGATCACTTCCTTATATACATTCCGTAAACCACATATCAGCATTCAGGAACATTTTCACAGTTCTTAACAGCCAACCTGCTTTATAAGAGTACTGTAAAATTTTACATGGCCACAAGCCATCTAGGATGTACAGACTGCACTATCACCTCTCTAGCAGCAAGTTTTATCCCATGGATAATTTTTAACAGTATTACAATTAAGATATAATTTACTTACCACCCCTTAAAAGTATACAACTCAGTAGTTTTCAGTGTATTTATAGAGCTGTGCAACTATCACCATAATCTAATTTGAGTTCATTTTCATCATCCCAAAAAGAAACCTTGTAACCATTAGCAGTAACTCCCCATTCCCCATGCCAATCCCCCAAAAAGGCTAATTTTTACTACCTTACCACCCCATTACTTTTTCATGTTTCCTTTTAGATACCTCAGTGATATTATGCAAGTGTCTCAAACCCATGAAACAGAATAATTGCTTCTGCTACTCGTATATCTCTCTGTTTCAAATTGGGAAATATCGTGCTTAACCATAGGAAAGTAAGATATGTTATAATAGCCTCTTGCTTTTTCAGAAGGTACTTTTTAAATGTAAGGCATAATGTAGGAACTAAGAGAAGATATACAAGTACAAAGTTACCTATTCTTTTCAAAACTAGTAGCAACTCTAATTACTTTGAAAGTCCATTACTGAATATAGCAAAAATATCACACAAAAGCAAGGAATTTCTTTTTTATTTAATTTATTTAAAACTTTATTTTAATTGGGTTAACTTGATCTGGTAATAAAACTAAAAGTACAGTGCAATCAATGTAAGATAACATTTGACATGTGATCTAACGAATTGTCTTGTTAAAAATAGGGCTTCCCTGGTGGCACAGTGGTTGGGAATCTGCCTGCTAATGCAGGGGACAGAGGATCGAGCCCTGGTCCAGGAAGATCCCACATGCCTCGGAGCAACAAAGCCCGTGCGCCACAGCTACTGAGCCCGCGAGCCACAACTGCTGAAGCCCGCATGCCTAGAGCCCGTGCTCCACAGCAGGAGAGGCCACTGCAATGAAAAGCCTGCGTACCGCCGCAAAGAGTGGCCCCCGCTCGCCGCAACAAGAGAAAGCCTGCGCACAGCAACAAAGACCCAACACAGCCAAAAATAAATAAAATAAAAAATAAATAAATTTTAAAATAAATAAATGTCTTGATGGTACCAAAAAATAAAAACTTACTTTCATTTAGCCAAAGCACTTTTTCCTCATATAATAACTTTTTTTACTCCAGATGTATAGAATTTAGCCATTTTTCTTTTGGGGATTTAGTAGGGGAAAGAACATTGAAAACAGTTAATTAAACAGGGGAGACCTAGGTCCCCCGATCATATCAGACATTTTTTTAAAGAACAGTGGAAATCAGTTCTAACAGCTGAAGTTCGGAGGGGACACCTCACAGAAGTTAGCCTCTCATCAAATTTTAGCTTTTTCTCTCCTCTCTTCATCTAACTCTAGACATCTCCCATATTCTTCAAATAATCCAAACATTCCTGTTACTCAAGGTAAGCAATACTGCAATCCAGCCAAGTGTTTTGTCTCATATCACTTTAATTACACAAAACATTTATTTGTACATTACCACCCAAAATATTCTTGCCTTTACCTCTATATACGAAAAGAGTGAGTTCACATGAATGAAGGATGCTTCCAAAATACATTTTTTGTGTCACTAAAGCAAAATCTAACATAGGTAGCCTACTTTTTATTAACACAACAGTTAAACAATAAACTCATAAAAACTTGAGCCCAAAGAGAGCTATATTATAAAATCCCTAGTTACTTGTTCATCAGGTGCCACACACCCATACACACACACACACACAAAATCACACAGGTGTCGACACCTGGCTTCCTATCCTCATTTCAACACCAGCAGCTCCTCTATCGTCCTGTCACAGTGAAGCGAGAGGAGTTGGATTGTAAATTATTCTCTCACACCACAAGCAACAGTAAACACAAGCAAGCACCAAGCCCTGGTAACTCAGAAGCTCTGGAACTAGGGTGGTAGACCTTGTGCTAATTAGAAAGAGATACCACCAGGGTGGGAGAAACCCAGCCTCACCAGGCCAGTACTTCGTAAAGGTAATGCCTTTGTGAAATTTAGGAAAGGCACCCTTCCTCTGGGGATGTTTATTCCAGGCCAGAGCACATGGCTTGATGAGCAGGATCAGGTCTGCACTTCAGTCTCCACATGCCCCTGGTCCAGGTGCCCTGGTTTAGAAACAATTCGCACAACCCTGTACAGTGGCCCTGGAGGTGGATTAGGTGGAGACGGGTCTACAGCTTCACCCTGCCTATACCCTGCCTAAGTAGAGCCGGGACCCCCATCAATGAAGAGATCAACCCCTTCTTCCACTGAGAGAGGCAGGCATACAGTTCCACCACAGAAAAGCTCAATTTCAGCCAGCTCATGTATAAAAGACAAAATGGAAAGAAAAAACAGTTTTAGAAATGTCTCTGTAGACCACATAAAAGTGCTGGTTATATGAAAATCAAACTCATTCAATGTTTAAAGTTTTCTTTTTTTATTACTTTGCCCAAGTATTTGAATATAAAGGTTTCAATAAAATACGTTTAACTCTAAGATTCATACCATATAATTCTCCATTTTTATATGGCCAAATATTCTGGTCCTTACAATAGCACACTCATGATTAAATGCAAATTACCTTTTACACCACCAAATGATCCATAAGTCATATTGCAGGCTGTTCTCTGAAGATTATGTTCATACATCAATTTGATCTGATATTGGGTCCCATGTTCCACATTACCCAAGCTTCCTAAAAAGAAATAAATAAAAAGACTGCTTTGTATTTGTTTACATTAAAAAATATTAATATCTTCTCATCCTCTTACCAATTCCAAGTAATTCAATTTCAGTGAAATTTAAAATGGCAAAGCACTAAAACATATGTATTATGAACAGTTAGCATACTGATGACACAGAATGCCAGCACAGTTAAAACAATTTAAGTCTCAGCTAGATTATACCAATAGATGAAATACTACCCTGGGTGACATTGTTATCTATGTCCATTATGTCTAAGTAAAGTGTAATTATTTAAATAACAACAAAATCCTCCAATTTCAGTTCTGAAATAAATGAGGTTAAGTTCCCTGCATTTATAACAATGATAGACCAAAGACATGAATCAAAGTGTCTAAGAAAAAAATTCCCCACACTTTCAAGCAATTCAATTTTCTGTCCCAACTCTCAAAATATTCAAGCCCCTAATACATTATGTTCTAATTTAATAGAGAGATCTAAAGCTTCTCTCAGCAAGTAAATAGGACAATATGTTTTCTTTGAAGTCTGCCAAGAAGAATCTCCTTCAAAACAAAGAAAAATACTTTCCCTGCATTTAATAGATCATATGTGCTACAATCACTTTGTAGTTCATTCCAAACGAGAAAAGATTCTTTATCTGCATTTTACTCTCTAGTTGTTAGGCTTTCTAGAGTATATACAGTTAGAGCTATATCCTAGTGATCAGGCAAGAACATTACGATTAAAAGAGGTGTTAGAAAGAAAAATGATTCCAAATGTAACATTTTCCATTAAGAAGCATCTTTGTCATTCATCCAAAAATGCAAAAGTTAAAAGAAAAACTTAAAATATCACAAAGCAAATGAAATAGTTCCAAACTGCATAATATTAGATGATTAAAACAATCTAAATATAGGGGCTTCCCTGGTGGCACAGTGGTTAAGAATCTGCCTGCCAATGCAAGGGACACAGGTTCGAGCCCTGGCCTGGGAAGATCCCACATGCCGTGGAACAACGAAGCCCGTGTGCCACAACTACTGAGCCTGTGCTCTAGAGCCCACAAGCCACAACTACTGAGCCCATGTGCCACAACTATTGAAGAAAGCCTGCACACAGTAACAAAGTCCCAAAACAGCCAAAAATAAAAATAATAATAATAAATAAATTTATTTTTAAAAAATCTAAATATATGTTTGTATGTATGTATGTATATACATATTTATACATGTGCATTTATTTGTTTTTTGTCCAGAAGGATTCACCAATGTACACGGAGGTTGTAAGAACAGAAGTATTTCTACTTCCACTTTACAGCTGAGGCACCTTAAATTTAAAAATAATTCAATAAATTTCCACCAAAATCACATAGCTGATAAAGGACACAGTACTCAAACTAGGTCTTCAGAGCCATCACTATATATACTGGTACCTGGTTGTCCATCATTTAACAACTTTCAGGGAACCTGGTAAGCCAATGACAATTTCCAAAATTAAAAAAAAAAAAAGCAGCATCAAAAATATGTTATTTCCTGGGGAGGGATGAATTGGGAGTTTGGGGTTAGCAGATGCAAACTATTATATATAGAATGGATAAACAACAAGGTCCTACTGCATAGCACAGGGAACTATATTCAATATCCTGTGATAAACCATAATGGAAAAGAATATAAAAAAGAATGTGTGTGTATATATATAAATATGGATAACTGAATCACTTTGCTGTACAGCAGAAATTAACACAACATTGTAAATAAACTATACTTCAGTATAATATATATATGTTATTTTCACCTCCACCTTTCTGTCCCTGGCTTTCTCTTCCTCATTTGGAAGGTGGAGGGTTGAAAGAGAAAAACTAACAGGCAAGGATTTCTTGGAGGACAACCACTTCTACTCAGATCTATGCCCCTGAAAATGCTAACAACCAAAATACTAACATACCAATAGAGTAAAAAAACAAAGAGAAAGACTCAAATTTGCCAGCTAACCCTGATAGGAGATGAAAGCTTTCTGGAACCTAAATGGTAGTAAAATCAGTAAGGTCCAGAGAAACTGGTGGTAATCACAACCATACCAGCCACACGGGCAAAAGCGAAAAACAAAAACTCTAAAAACATAACTCACAGCATTGACCTAAGGACAGTTCTAGCCTCTAAGAAACCAGAAAAAAAAAAAAGATCCAAGAAACTTTTGGTTTGTCCCTACTGAAATTCCAAATTTCATTCTGCACCTAAAACCAGATGGACCCCTCCGAGTAAGGAATGCACTTACGCATGCCTGCTAACCAAAAGGTCAGTGAACACAAGGGTCAGCAGTCAATATTTAAACACACTTCCATGAAATGACATTAGAATTTATGTCTTGAAAAAGCTGCAAATGCATTGGTAAGTTTTTAAATTTCAGGTGATAGCACTTTAAAATGTAATAGTGCACCTATGGAGAACAAAAGACAATTTATCGTCCTTCAATACTAACTTGGAATAAAGGTAGTACCTGAAAATCTAAAAATTCTGATCACTTGTTTTCTAGAGAAGCATTGATGACATAAGATTAAAATTACTTACAAAGGTTTTGTCCTTGAATATACAGACTGAATACAGTAAATGTATATCTATAATAATAGTCTATATATAGCTAAAGTTAATATAAAGTTTCATCAATTAGAAAGTAAATGGATATTAGAACATTTATGCTGATGGTCTTATTTAAACAAGATGTAATTTAAACAAAATAATTCTCTGGACAATCAAAGGTCACCTTGAAAACAGGTTTTGGTGTAATTTTACATAACTGCTGAGAAATCTAATGATGTTAAATGAAATAAAAGCCATTACAGAGTAAGTTAAAAGGTTCATTGTATTAAATAACCAAATTAGATTATATAACCCTGTCAAAAGTAAAGAGACATCTTTTTGCCCTCTCATGGCAAATATTAAAATTCTATAAATATGTCAAATGCTTAGTAAGTACAAAATCTTTGGAAAAGAATATTTAAAAGAACATAATCAGTATGGCTTAAGCTCACACATCTGTAACCATTTACTCAGAAACTGAGGCCCATCAGGAAGGAATCTGAGATGCCATGTGATGCTTTTCCTTTACCAGAGTATGATAAGATGGGCTAAGTTCAGGTCAGCAAGACCCTGCTGTTTCTCTATATTAAGCCTGCATTTAATGACATATCACCCCCCCCCAAAAAAAAACATCAGCACACTAGCCTCTGATTATTAAGAGTTGTTTGCTATATCCCGGAGGTCTCCTCTAATTTGCCTCAAATATTTTTTAGGAGCACATTAGCGCATAAAAGAAAAAACATTTGGAGAGGGGGCAGTCGGGGTTAAGGATGTCAAGTTCAGCTAACACTTTTCATCTGCTGACACCAGTGGTTTCACTTAAACTAGAAAGTGTTTATGCTTCCCCTGTTATAGTAAAAGCTAGGTAAAAGTTCAGTCTGGTACCTCAAGAAACATATTCAAGAGAACAAAAACATTAACTTCTCTGCTTCTCAATTTAAGCCAAGCCAGGAAAAATATACAAATTGTCAGGCTACGAATATCATAGGAAGCTGAAGAAATGAGAGACAGAGAAGGAAAATGAGGTGGAGTGTAAGGGAATGTAGTTTGGACAACTCCTCATCCCCAGAGAATACAAAGCTTGTAAATGAATAGAAAGAATAAAAGAGCAATAAAATCGCCATTCCTGTGACAAATAACTTTCATTTTCAACACTAAGTTGAAGGACGATACCAATGTCCCATAAACAAGTTGTGACCAAACATGCCAGTTTCTTTCACTAGTCTTTTTTGATAAACACACATTTCATCCCTAGCCTATGCCCTACACCCCAGTGGAACTCTAGAGACTTCTGGCTTTCTGAGCCATCATTCAAACGGGACCAGGGAAGGCCAAGAGTCTAACCTAATTTCTAGATTTTAGGATGTGTCCCTCTCCTGCCCTCTTAGAGCCCCCATGGAGCCTCTAGAAGGGACCAGTACCCCAAGCAGTATTCAAGAGTTACTGTGGGCAAGTTCTCCTCCTCCATACCTGTTAATAAAATATCACTCGAAGTTAACAGGCTTATGATGGAAAACAGAGGAACAACTAGATGCCTGCAATAAAGTAGCTTATATCATACCTTCTCCATTTACTCTGGAACACTAAATATCTGCCCTACCACTAGGAGGAACAACATCTTTTACCATGAAACCAATAAGAGTATTTAGCAATGACAGTAAGAGGTACTTTACCAGGCCTCTGATATAAATAGAATGGAAATGGAAAAGAAAATGATAGTGGTAACAGAGAAGGAAAAGAAGAAAGAAGAAAATAACATACAGAGAGTAATAAATAGCCACTACCAATTGCCTCAGCATTACCTAGAAATAAGTTCATTCATTCATTCAACAAGTATGCCTACCACACACCACATATCAAGACTGCCTTCAATATCTAATAGATCTTTGCCCCAAAAAGAGATGACCTAAGAATATCCAGCCCTGGAACTTCCCTGGTGGTGCAGTGGTTGGGAATCCGCCTGCCAATGCAGGGGACACGGGTTCGAGCCCTGGTCGGGGAGGATCCCACATGCTGCAGAGCAACTAAGCTCGTGCGCCACAACTACTGAGCCTGCGCGCTAGAGCCCGCGAGCCACAACTACTGAGGCCACGCACCACAACTACTGAAGCCCCTGCATAGAGCCTGTGCTCCGCAACAAGAGAAGCCACCACAATGGGAATCCACGCACCGCAACAAAGAGCAGACCCCGCTCACCACAAGTGGAGAAAGCCCACACACAGCAACGAAGATCCAAAGCAGCCAAAAATAAAATAAATAAATTTATTTTAAAAAAAAATATCCAGCTCAGTGACAGTAAATATGAATCATGACTCAAATTGAAAGCAAAATACAAAGAAAGCCCAAATCAAGAAAATGAGTGTGAGAAATCCAAATCCTAGAAGCTAATATTTACAGCAAATTCCGAGAGTATCTTTTGTATAAGCAATAGGTCCACAGACACTCAGCTTTATTGTATCCGTTAAAAGATTCCCCCATATTGCACGTCATAAAAATAACTGTCAACTTGGACTAAAATTTATCTAATAACTGAAACAAAATTTGTAAGTTACCTTTTCATATTTAATAAGGGCCAAAATGCTGAAACCAAAACGCAATTAACTTTCATACTTGTACCCACAGTACCATGTCAGGGAATGAAACCTAATTAAGTCTCAAATAAATGCCTTAAGGTCTGGTTGAGTAAAGACAGCCAAAAGCCAAGAAATTGGAACTGTAAAGGGAAATACTTGAGGTTCACCAAAGAAAATGTACTTTAAACCACCATGACTCAGCATGTAATGAATTTTGCTGTTGCTGTTGAACATTTCTTAAGACTCAAGTGTCCTAAGTACCCAGAATTGGCCTCTATTAGTCATAGGCAATCCTGCACACAATTCCTCAGAGGAAGGAGATTCCAAGGAACCCTCTACAGTGATAGAAATTTAAGTATGCATGGAAATAGCAGACCAAGAAAATGTAATAGCCTTTGTACCTGAAAGAATAAATGAACAATGGGAAAATGCTAACCAAGATAAGAAAACCTTCAACTGAGTCAATATTAACTATTCTTACATAATATTAAGAAGTCCAGATTTTAGTACAAATTCTACATTAGAAAAAAATGTTTCTTACCTGAGACAGAGTAGACACACAGTTTTCTAGAATGCAACACAGCCAAATGAAGCATTTCAGTACCTCTGAAAAACAGGGAAATTTTTAAAAGTTTAAATACTAGCTTCAGATGTAACCCAAAAAATGACAAAATGATTTTAAAACGAGATTTTAACCATAACCTATCATGAGTGAACTAAATAATTCACTAGATAACATTCAAAGCTAAAAAATAAATTGAACAACAAGCAACCAGTTTGGCAATATCAGAGGCCCAAGGACTCTGCCTCAAGGAGCTGCCTTCATACTGAAGCCAAGGGGGTCTCCCAGCAAAAGTCATATCTGAGGCGTCTTCAGGAGTGCTCTCCCACAATAAAGAGATCCACGTGGGACTTCCCTGGCAGTTCAGTGGTTAAGACTTCGTGTTTCCACTGCAGTGGGTGTGGGTACGATCCCTGGTTAGGGAACTAAGATCCCGCAAGCCACAGGGTGTGTGTGGAGGGGGAGACCCACGCTCTGGTCCTGGCTTGAGCAAGTCACTTACACTCTCTAAGCCTATTTCCCCTTTTGGAAAATAAGAGGTTTAAATTAAATGAAATAAAAATCATGTGAAAGCACCTTGTAAAGTATAAAGCACTACAGAATGGCAAAAGGCATATATCACATGGAGGTCTGAAATTATACTAAAGGTATTGAAAATATTTCAGTTTGGTCTAAATCTCAAACAGAAATAAACAGCCACTGTCACCACTACACTTCCCAGCCCCTATCAAGTGGTTTCCAGAGACAAGGCACAATCTAGAAATCCCAAATTCAAAGTCTTCAAGGGTCAAGTCAGAAGATATAAGTGAATAAAGAGTGTAAATGGCTGTGATCAATTGGAGACTAGGGCCAGACTAAAGGAGGCAACGACTACTCAGCTCTGGGCTTGTGGCCAGATCTCCACATTCTTTTTCAAGAAAAGCCAGAATGCAGGGATTTTATGTGAAAATTTCTCGTTCCTAAATGCTGGCAATTCTTTTAAATTTAAAACTAATCTGAAAGCAGGCCTCAGATGTTCGACCTCTGATGCAGACTCTGTTCTAAAGTGAAAGAACTATAATTGAAGTCTGAAAACCTGGATTGGGATCTTGTCTCGGCACTTTGATATTTCTGTGATCATTTAATCTTTCAGAGTGTGAGTTTCTCATTTATAAAACAAGAATTATATTAGATAATACCTGCAAAACATTGTTACAGTGAATATATACTCACCAACTCACTCTACTACCAGAAAATGAAAATATACACAACTATCACATAATCAAGACCGCCTTCAAAGATTTTTATATGTACCCTGTAATACTCAAAACAATTTTTCCATCATGCACAGTAAAAGGACATGATGTCATGGAAAGACAGTAAATAATGGAGTCAGACAGACCTGGGCCTGAATGCTGGCTGTGTAACCTAAAGCTCTGAGCTCTAGCCAGTTTCCTTATCTCTAAACGCAGATCACATCTTACAGATAAGATTAATGAGATAGTACCAGTCAATTAATACTAGTACAGTATCATTAATGTTCACCTCCTCCCTTCCAACAAGTGATCGCATAGGTGAAAGCCACACTACTGTGTAGAATGATTGTGACAGCATTCCACATTTTTAAAAAATGAAAAGGTAAAAATGCGTTTTAGAGGCAAGAATTCTTTTGTCTCCTTACTTTATAAATCCATCATGTTTAATATGTGCTAGGTACACAGTGGGCACCTAATCATCATCAGCTTTTAGATGGAGTAGATATTTACCAGCCATGTCAATCATAAAATCCTGATCCAGCCTGTCACAGGGCATAAAAGTCCCATCTCATGTCCTGGCCTATCGCATCCACGAAGCAGCTTCCCATCAGAATGAATCGTGTTACCAGAAGAGAGTTAATGCTCAGGAGCAGTCTTTCAGGTTTTTCTAGTAGGAGTCAGGGCCCTGAACAAGTGGAACCTGGGGCCAATAAATCACGATGTGCAACTGGAGTGAGCCAAAATCCAGAGCTCAGGGCACTCCCAGACTTAAGACAGCAAAAGGGCGCTCAAAAAGAGAAGGTACGGGAAAACAAGGCCACCTCTGTCTACATAACACTTCACAATAGATACTTTTATAAATGATTAAGAAATACAGGCTTAATTTTAAGAAAATTCATGCATGAAAATAAGATAAAATCAGCAATATCATCAGTAAATAAAAAGCAGATGTATTACACAAAATGCAAAATAATAAACGGTGTTCTAAAATAAATTAGGTTTAAAAATAATGTAATTTGAACCAAAGACTTACTTTGTGGGGTGAGCTGTCTTCCTTTAAGAAACTAAGGACCTCTCTACCCCAAATAAGTAATTTGTTTCAAAGCTTCAAAGTTATGCACCAAATCACATAACTGCTATGATGTCTAATTTTTTTAAACAAACAGTTTGTTTAAAACTGGACAATTGGGGGCTTCCCTGGTGGCGCAGTGGTTGAGAGTCCGTCTGCCAATGCAGGGGACACGGGTTCGTGCCCCGGTCCGGGAAGATCCCACATGCCACGGAGCGGCTAGGCCCGTGAGCCATGGCTGCTGAGCCTGTGCATCCAGAGCCTGTGCTCCGCAACGGGAGAGGCCACAACAGTGAGAGGCCCACATACCACAAAAAAAAAAAAAAAAAATGGACAATTAGTGCTTTAAGTGGTGAATACTTTCTATTTCTTTGTCTGGTTATTTTTCAAAAGCTTATCTCTTTTCCTTTAAGCTTCTGACACATCAGGCATCTTAGGTCTGTTGCTATAAAAAAGTCCTAAATTATTCTATCTTAAATGTACAGGTTTCCAAATTTTAAAATGTTCAGTACATGAGGACCACCTAGGTGGCAATATACAGGAAATATATTTAATTCATAGATAGTCTTTTTTTTTTTTGAAGCATCCACAAAAGTGACATAGTAAGGGATTGACATACTCCAAGTATTAAGATAAAACACCAGAATTGGTGGGCTATACTTACGAAACAAACTTTCCTACTTCCACTTGCAGTATTGGATCTCGTAGATGCACTTCTAGAAGCAAATCTTCAGCTTGAGCTCCATCTCCTGTTTTTACAGGATGAGGATTAAAGATCCTTAGGTATCCCATAAAGCTACCCACAATTACTTTATCTGTAAAGAGATTTTTTTTTAAGATATAGAAAGAAAAAAACATTAGCAACAAAAATTTTTTAGAAATAAAATTTCCACTGTCTAAAAGAAAAATCTAAAAATTAAAAGAATCCAGTTTTGCTTCATATACAAAAACCAATCTGCCAATAGAATATGTAATTAAAGTGAACTTATCTTAATAACACATAGCTTTTCAAAAATAGCTTTACATCACCAATATTCAAATGTACTAACATATTACATTTTTCTTAAGCCTTGATTTGGCGTCGTAGCCATAATTTAACACAGTCAAAGCACGCCCTTTTAACAAAGGACCATTATCAGGTTGTAAGCTGATTTCGCCATAGAGTGTCAACTCTACACCTGGTTTTGGCTGTTGAAAACACCGTATTAACTCAGTGTAAAAACACTGAGTCCTCATTAGACAGAGTGCTCTGATTTACAATTTCTAGCCTTGGGTACAAAAGGAGGAAATGGTAGGATAGGTATTATGGGTTGAACTGTGTCCCCCAAAAAGATATATGTTGAAGTCCTAACCCCCAGTACCTGTGACTTTATTTGGAAACAGGGTCTTTGCAGATGTAATCAAGTTACGATGAGGTCACACTCAATTAGGTAAGTGATAGGACTCAATTAGTATCCTTATAAGAAGAGAAAACAGAGACAGGAGTGGGGAGAGGAGAATGCCATGTGAAGACATAGAGACAAGCAAGGAGAAGATGATCATGTGACAACAGAGGCGGAGACTGGAGTGATGCATCTACAAGCCAAAGAATGCCTGGCGCTATCAGAAACTGAAAGAGGCCAAAAAGGATCCTAGAGGCTTCAGAGGTAGCATAGTCCTGCCAACACCTTGATTTGGACTTCCAGTCTCCAGAACTGTGACAGAATAAATTTGTTGTTTTATGCCAGCCAATTTGTGGTACTTTGTTATGGCATTCCTAGGAAACTAATACTTTGGGTTGTTTGAAATCCCTAGATTAGTAGAATACATTGACTTCTTTTCTATCAGCTTAAAAGAAGGAGTTCTACACATTTATTGAGAGTTTATTAGGTGCCAGGCAATGGTCTAAGTAGCTTATATATACTAACTCATTAAATCCTCATAATAACCCTATGAGAGAGGTACTATCCTAGGAATTTCAATCCTGAATAGAGACACACATGTCATTAAGAATCTGGTGCTACTATTCAAAATACCCAAGACATGGAAACAACCTAAATGTTCATCAACAGATGAATGGATAAAGAAGATGTGGTACATATATACAATGGACTACTACTTAGCCGTAAAAAAGAATGGATTAATGCCATCTGCAGCAACATGGATGGACCTAGAGATTATCATACTAAGTGAAGACAAATACCATATGATATCACTGATATGTGGAATATAAAATATGACACAAATGAACTTATTTACAAAACAAACAGACTTGTGGTTGCCAAGGGGGAGGAGGAATGGGGGAGGGGTGAATTGGGACCTTAGGACTAGCAGATGGAAACTATTATATATAGAATGGATAAACAACAAGGTCCTACTCTATAGCACAGGGAACAGTATCAATACCCTGTGATAAACCATAATGGAAAAGAATATGAAAAAGAATGTATATATATATATATATATATATATACACACACACATACATACACATATATACACACATATATATACATATATATATATAGCTGAATCACTTTGCTGTACAGCAGAAATTAACACAACATTGTAAATCAACTATACTTCAATTAAAAAAAAGAAATGAATCTGGTGCTAGGTGATCCGATGGCAGCCTCAGAGGTCTACAAGGTCTCTGGAAACATACTGGTTCCTATCTCTGACTAAGGCTTGGCCAAATGAACTCTTCCTGCATTCAGGAGAGCTATGTCACTCTCATTCCAATCTCTCTTTTATTTGCATTTATCATAATTGTTTCCTGTCACTTTGTGGCAAAGAAATAAAATAAGATGTTAATTGATATACAGATTAGCACCAGTGAATAAACTACAGACACCAATTCCTGCAGGGATATTTGGAAATTGGTTGTTGAGCTAAGTTGGGGCACAAAGCATTAAAACTCCTGTTCATATTCTAGGTGGGTTTACGTAGCATTGTACACAGTGACAGAACAGTTAAACAAGTTAACACCTCCAAGCATCTGGAACACTGTGCCCATTGCAGGGGACACTCTAGTGAACTGAACAGCTGCTGCCAAATGAACAGGAAGGAGGAGTGCCAAACCATACACAAGATGGTTTTTTCTAAGGGCACTGGATAATTTAAAGTCAGAGAATGATAGGTTTAAATCTCAAAATTCTCATCTCAGGGTAAAGGATAAAACTCAGGGTCTTTGGGAGCCTGCAGAATTTCTTACCTCTTTTTAGCAGGGGGCTTAACCCCTAAGAATCTAGTTCAGGGATTAACTCTATAGGTTTTCAATTGCAGTGACAAACGAGTTCACAGTCTCTCCAGGTTTCTTGCATAAAAGTAAAGACATTGATCAGAAGGAATGGGACTCAACTTCAACAAAGCCCTATCCTCAGGGTTAAGAGGAAACCAGGATGGCCAAGTCCACGTGGTGACAATTTAACCCCTAGAATTAAAATGTGTATGTATGATTATTAAAATAGACAGCGGGACTATTATAGTAACCAGATCTCAGGTAACAGTCTAACTATCACAGATTACAAGCTATAATTAATTAATATGGGATCCCCAGGGATGGAACAAACAGGCAACGCATTAAGGCCCTTTATCCCAGTGATTCATTTCTTTTTATTATTGAGTAGTATTTAATTGTAACAATGTACTCTAGTGTGTTTATCAAATTAAGGCCTTTTCTGAAGTCTAAAACCAAAAGTAATCCAGGTCTATGGAAAAGAGGACTAACTCAAGCCACCATATTAGACAGTCATGGCATAGCACTGATCCCCATACTTAAGTCAATTTATAGACTGAGTCACTTGAACAAAGACAAGGTTATGTATAGACTGCTGTAACACCACCCATGCCTAATATGAAGTTTCCTCAGATTCTTCCCTATTGGACCAGTAGTCATTTATCCAAGTGTACTGAGGAAAAGTATATACCCAACCTTTATGAGAACACTTGAATATTGGCTCTAAATTACTGCTAATTCTGGAAGCCCAGGAAGATACTGTTGTTGCCAATTATGGAGACCCCATGATAAATGAACTTCCTAACCTATGATTTCTCACCCAGCATCTGAGAGCTTAAAGGAAATGTATTTCCATAGAAAACGGTAGAGTATCCACTTGGTTCTCTAACATGCAGAGTGAGGGATATTATATTGAAAGGACTATATGGAAGCCAATGGAACTCCATCTCTCCAACAGGGAGAAAATCAAAATCACTACCACTCCTAAGCCTGATTTGGGGTGGTTTCCAAAATTTAATTCCAAAACACTTAACTTTGTAATATGTGATCATTCCTATCAAAGTCCTGTTTAATAACCAGATTTGCTGATATCAAAGTCTAATTAATGGGTCTTATAGAGTTGATCAGTATAACTTAAATGGTAACTCTGAATTCTTCTGTTATTCCACAAATTATTTTTTCTTGGAGCCAACTAATACATCCCATCTGCTTGAGTACAGTTCTAAAGCTTAGTAATGCATTTTCTCCTTTCCAATGCACAGAGACCAACAGAAATGATTGGTTTTCACCTGACAGGAGCAGGAGTATACCTTTACATGTACGCCCACAATCCAGTCTGCAGGAACCAGGACTACCTCACCATCTCATAAAGGCTGAATGGGGCTGAAAGAAATATGAGTGAAACCCAGGGATCCCCATGGGCCCTTCCTGTACTGTCTGGATCAGTAGTAAATGGAATTACTATAATCCTCTTTAGGCAAGCATCAGTGTTCTAGATCCCCCAGGAATGAAGAGGCCTAGACCATAGCCAGGTGACCAGTTGCAAAACAAAAGGATGTAGCTCCCAACATGACTTCTTCAAGTTGCCATACAATTTTTCCTGCTCCTTCATCTTAACTTTTGAGTTTTTCATTCTCTTCTTCTTTTCCTCAACTATTATACATTAGGTTGTGAACACAGATTGCATGTACCAATTATTCTAGAGGAAGCAGAATATTGGAACATGATCATGACCAAATGACAAACGAAAGGTGTAACACCCAGAGATCCTAGATTTGAAGAGCCAGAGCTCCCTGAAGGAGCCTCTGAAGCAGCAGGTGCATGCACTTATCTCCCGTGGCAGATGGGTAAGAATATGTGCATGTTCAGTTGTACAAGGGAGAGTTGCCCCATGTAAGGTATAAATGCTGAGAAGCTAAAAGATAAATATAAGAACTATTTTTTAGTCTGCCTTATATAATGTGTTTTTAACTCCGATTCTTGTAATAAACACTCCCTCCAGGTTATATGTTAGCATGTAATCTAAGCTGAACCATTCACATTCTTTCAAGATTAATGAGGAATCCTTCTTCTATGAATCAAGTAAGCTTCACCTAAAGCAATTTCAAGATGCCTAATACTATCATTTCGCTCTCGGATCACTTCAGAGAAAGGAGGGATCAACTGGCATTATTGTCTCAACTTCCCAAACTGACCTGCAAACTTCTCTTCATCTATGTCCATTCTTACCTTCTTACCTTCTATCACAGTGAAAAAAATTCTCAAACCTGTTTAAAGTTAACCCTTCCATCTGCGTACTTGATCCCACCTCCAACTGTCTTCTCTGGATCCCTGCTTTATCAATTATATCCTCTATGCTACACACTGAATTTTTCCCATTTCTTTTTACCCTACACTGTCCCCAGTCATCATTCTCCCTTCTTCCCTTCACAGCTCTTCCTTTAAAGGGCCATAAACACTCAGTTTTCCCCACCTCTAACTCCTTCACTCTCTGCAAATCTAGATTTTGTTACCATTGTGTCCATTCATCCACCCTCACCAAGGATACTAACAAACCACTGGCTGCAAAACAATACGGAAATTTAAAAATCAGTCTTCACGTCACTAAATCTTGCCTCCCAGGTATCAACCCAACTGGTTCTCCTGCCTCTCTGCCTGCCCTTCTCAGAATCTATTACTGACTACCTGTCCCAAAGCTCCTCCCTTAATACTCATATTCTCCAGGTTATGGTCCTAAGGTTCCTTCCCTCTTGTTCCATCTTCTCTCTCAGTGTATTTGCACCCATTCCCAGGGCTTCAAATACAACCAGCGTACTGCTCACTCCCAAATCTCTACCTCGATTCTGCCTGCCAGACACTTCTGTTTCAAACAGAGCATGTCCGAAGCTGCTCTCACTAAACTTGCACTCCATAAGATCAACAGTAATAATTCTTAAACTTTAGTGTGCCACCATTCAACTTTGCAGCTTGTCAAAATGCAGATACCTAAGCCCCCATCCAATCCATCTACCCCCCAGAGAATATGATCTTAGAAGATCTTGTACATCTGGGATAGAAAATCTTCATATATAATAATCACCCCATGATGTAGGTGGTCTAGGCTTTGAGAAATAATGATCAGTGTTTTTTTTCTATGTGGAACACACACACACAGAGAATGATTTTTGTATAGCATGCTTGGGAAAACAGAGGAAGCTGCTCACAGCTGGATGTAAATAGGGGGGATGAAACATCTCAGCATATTGGTAACCCACTGGTGGCACCCCAGTGAGGAGCTCTAATAGAAATGATGAGGGAACACTATGTTATTCAGATAATCAGTAAGTATAGTTTCCAACCAAGTTGAGTTTTAAATAGTTTGGGCAGAGGTGGGTTTGAAATTGTTTCTCTCTGGCAGGTATTTTTGTGGTATGACTCTTCTGTGCTACCAAATTATAGGGGAATCATAAATTTTAACAAACAGTTGGGCAGGAGGCAGGGTTGATAATCTTTGAAGAACAGCTCAGGATACCTTATGAATAGAAGACCTTTGCCTCTCCTATCAGTAGAAGGGCAGGGCCCAGATTTTCCTTAGAAACAGTTCAGTAGGTGCTCAGAACAGTTTAGTGCCTCCCACTCTTCTTTGCCAATATAATTTCCTCCTTTCACTTTATCCCCCAAATTCTACTGTTTTCATTATAGGCAAGATAAATAGAATAAAGAAAAATATAAGGGGACAATGTTTATATACAATGAACAAATGAAAAATTATTATAATAAGTTTTCTTTTTAAGAGGCCAGTGACTATCTGAATTACAAAAAAAAAGCTCATGACTATAAATCACTCAAACCAAATATAAATTTCAAGTAGCAATAATACAGAACTAAAATGTTTTAAAGACCACTTATATGATGATGCAAAGAGGAGCAAATAATATAAGAATAAAATAGAATATTGTTTCTAGTTTCAAAATATAAAAATGAAAGCAATGATTTAACAATTGTTTTCTACAAACAAATAGAGCTAACATAATTTCTCCATTCTGGTAAATGGCTTTCAGATTCTCTTTTTAAAGAATATATTTTTTCTTGCAGCTTCTACAAGAGAAAAATTTTCAAAATTCAAAATATTTTACCAGCTCTACCCTACGAAACCTGATTTTGCAACAAATAAAAACAAATTAAATGATGCCTTATAATATTTTTCTGAGTTCCAGCAAATAATATGACAGAATCAACACAAACCAGAAAAACACAAACAACAAAACATAAGTAATAACTACATTTATCAGCCTGCTACTTAAATATTACTTATAAGGAAAACTACCTTAAAAACTAGGGCATAGTCACGACAGTTCACCTAAGTTCTATAAAGTACACATTAAAAAAAAGAAGTCGTTTTTATTCCACCCCTATAAAATGCTTTGCTCCAAGATGCTTGGTCATAAGTTGTTTACCTTGTCCATTTCCAGTATTGTCAACATCAGCCAAACACAAACAGCCTTGATCAAATTCTTCTTTTTCTCCCAGAACAGTAGACCACCAATCACGGGCTTTAAATAAAGACATTTTCGTTCACTCTGAAAAGAAAGCATTTATTTATAATAAAAATCCACTTCACAAAAAAAATCCACTTCACACCATGATTTATGAATTAATTAACTTTTTTGTTGTTGTTGTTCTGAATTAATTAACTCTTAAGGCATACATAGCAAACTAAAGTTAGACAACTTTGAGAAAAAACATTGTATTAAACTCTAATTTTTTGTATTTTGTGGACATATGTGAAACCACAAATCCAAGTGAGTGGAAACATTAATCAGATATTTTGCAATGCCATCAGAAAGTCAAGCTGAGAAATTATACATTTATGTTGGGTCAGTTCTCTCTTCTGGGACATTTAGTAGACAACTGTACAAAGTAACAAACATATTCTTTGGAGGATCAAGATTCAAATTCTACCAGAATTAGTTAGCACATAATTCCTAGGCATAACATCTAATTTCCCTTCAGTTTGGTCATTAAAAAGACTGCAGCAGGGGCTTCCCTGGTGGCGCAGTGGTTGAGAGTCCGCCTGCCGATGCAGGGGACACAGGTTCGTGCCCCGGTCCGGGAAGATCCCACATGCCGCGGAGCGGCTGGGCCCGTGAGCCATGGCCGCTGAGCCTGCGCGTCCGGAGCCTGTGCTCCGCAACGGGAGAGGCCACAACAGTGAGAGGCCCGTACACAGCATAAAAAAAAAAAAAAAAAAGACAAGTTTAAAGAAACAAACAATGGGGGAAAAAAAGAAAGAAAACTCCATCTTTAAACAAACAACGGGGGGAAAAAAGAAAGAAAACTCCATCTAAGGCCCTCTCTTTATGCTGAAAAGGAAAGTAGTCAGGTAAAGGCAAGGTGTTGATGAAAGTGAAGGAAAAATACATAGCAGGTAAATGAACTTATCATGAGTTTTAACATGTGGGAGAGTTTCTGAAAAACATCTGCATCAGCTGTTATTAATAATGGCACTATGTAACCATACAAATTGCCAGATGACTAAACTTCCAATCTCACAGCAAGTATTCAAAAATGTAATAAACACTCCTATTATACTTTTATTGGACTTTTTTAATTTGAGAGGGAAGTAACAGTACTTAATAAGTACCATATATTCTCATTATGTACTCGAGATACATCGGAAAATTAAAATACGCCATACCATTGGACTGCCGCAATAAAGAGATGTCATTCTCTTGCAGCACAGGGCAGAATACTACCCAAATTCAATACCATTCAATGATTCACTAGGAGGACTCACAGCACTATAGTCATCATATAGTCATCATCATAGCTATGATTACTCAAAAGGATAAAAAGCATAATCAGGAAAGGGAAAAAGTACATGTATCTGTAGTTTGAATATAAACACACATGACTGCATCAGATGAAAATAGCTATTATGTGAAAATGGCCTTAAAAACCTTTGTTACTGAACAAATTTTTTCAGCTTGCTAGAATAATGGGGGGAAAAACACTCCAATATGAAAAACTAACTCTCCAACATGGTGTGTAAATGGAACTGTCCTACATCAGGCACTAATTTCTCATGGACTTCTATCATAAAATTTAATATCTATTCCTAGTAACAAAATACCACTGGCAACATTTATTTCCTTCCTGTTTCTCCTGCTCTATCAATTTCTCCTTAGTCACCTACCACTTCATTAGCTTCTGAAAGCCCTCCTTTCCTAGATTGTTCAGCTCCTTGCTACCCAAAGTGTAGTACCTGGACCAGCAGGTCAGCATCACCCAAGAGCTTATGAGAAATGCAGAATCTCAACCCCACCCCAAACAAGATCCCCAAGTGATTCACATGCACCTCAAAATTTGAAAAGCACTAGTTGCACAGATACCTGATAGTCTAAGTGGATGTTTTCTTATAGCAATGCTCTACTTCTCTTCCTTTTTCCTGTGACCTCTGTCACCAGTTAGTTACCTTTCCAAAGTTTGAAAAAAAGACTCACTTTTAAAATCAAGAGCTTCAACAGCTAGAAGGTACCCATCAATGAGCTGGTCTTCTCATTCTGTAGATTATAATGACACCCCTAAATCACACAGCTAATGGCAGAAACTTGCTTCTGCATACCCTGTCCCTACTCTAGACCCTTATATTATTAGGCTGTCACTGCCTGCAATTTAATATCCAAAACACTGAAAAAGCATGGGTCAGTAGAGGGATTTTTTTTGGTTTCGCTTTGTTTTAATTTTTAAAAGGTTGGGGGAGGGGTTGCTAATTTCAAACCTAGGTCCAACAAATCGCTCTTCCTCACAAGACCACAGCTGCTTCATTTCAGACCAACTTACTTTCATACCAGGGCAAAACATAAGCTAATACATAGCAGAACTGCATAAATTCCATTATGCCAAAATTCTGCATACTGGTTCCCCCATGACCCAGGTGTTAACATTTACCATGGTGGACAATAAATTATTGAATAACGTCTTACATCTTTGAAAAATTAGTGAACGATAGGAAAACCAACAATTTGGGCTGATGGTCAGTAGTATGTTTCCCGGTGCCTCTCTCTCCAATTTCAAAGGCAGAAGCAGAGGAAGGCGCACTGCCCACTCCCAAGAAATTAAGAAACCACAAACCCTCATTTGTGCAATTTGTACATCATTAATTTCCTTTTCTAATAATTGATGTATTTTTAAATGACAGCGTAAGCTACAAGGCAAAAGGTTTCAAAGGGGAGTTCTTTTCCACTTTGGCTTCAAAGATGGATTTGATAGCAAGTCTGAACAATTTAAGGTTGCTGGATATCCCTGTTTATCTGAGAAAAAAAAAAAAAGCTTAATCCTTTGGCTTGAATAAATAAAACACACCTACAAAAAATTTCTCTTTGCACACAGCAGTTGTGTTCCTAATAAGCTTATATATAATCACTTTTATACTTGCTCTTAAATATAAGTCTTACAGACACTGGAGCACCTTGATATCTAATGGAACTCTGATGAAATCTTTTGATAATATAGATATTTCTCCCATAACCATATGCTAAGCAATTTAAGGTTTCAGAGAATTCCACTTTTCAGCGTGACATGTGAGAAGCTCCACTGGCCCACTTCCCAGTGAAACTGAAAATTATTTTTTAAAACAACCATTTCAAGTCTCCGGAAATTGTCCTAAGAGCATACAACAAATAAAGAAACATTAAAAATCTAAAACTCAGTAAGAACAGTAAGAGTCTGTAGTATTTAAACTACAACTCACTCCTCTCCATACTCCTAGCTCAGCAAGATGGAAACTGCACTCCAGAGTAGTACAGCCAAGAACCCTCTCCCCACAGCTCCCAATCAGAGAACCACCTTCCCAGGAAGGGCAGGACATCAGCATTATTTGTCCTGCTCCCAACTATCTGTTGCTGACTACAGAAGAAACTGAAAATCTAAATAAACCTATAACAAGTAAAGAGATTGAATTAGTAATCAAAAAACTATCCACACACACAGAAAAAGACGAGGCTCAAATAAAAAGAAAAAAAGAAAAGACTAGGCTCAGATGGTAAATTCTACCAAATATTTTTCTTAATTAACATCAATTGTTCACTAACCTCTCCAAAAAATAAAAGAGGAGGGATCACTTCCCAACTCATTCTATGAAGCTAGTGTACATTGATACCAAAATTAGACAAATACAAGAAAAGAAAACTACAGACCAATATCTCTTACAAATATGTATGTAAAAATCCTCAACACAACACTAGCAAAGTGAATCAAGCAATATATTAAAGGAATTATACACCATGGCCAAGTGCAATTTACCCCAGGAATACAATGTTAGTTTAACACCCAAAATTAATTAAGGAAATATACCAAAGCAATAAAATAAAAATCAAAAACCACCTAATCATGTCAACAGAGTCAGAAAAAGCATTTGACAAACTCCAAAACTCTTCCATTGTAAATACACTTGATGGAAGAAATGTTCACATATTGAGGTATGGGGAAGTCATTCTGGCTTATATATGATTTAATGTAAACTTTATGCTAACTAGAACAGCCTGTCTCACAGCCTGTCAAACATGCATTGTACATCTGCTCAAACATGCATTGTACACCTGCTTTAACCATTAAAGAAAAGAGTGCATTTAAAAGTCAAAATGGAGGGACTTCCCTGGTGGCGCAGTGGTTGAGAATCCACCTGCCAATGCAGAGGACACGGGTTCGATCCCTGGGCTGGAAAAATCCACATGCCGCGGAACAACTAAGCCCCTGCGCCACAAGTACTGAGCCTGCGCTCTAGAGCCCACGTGCCACAACTGCTGAAGCCCGTGTGCCTAGAGCCTGTCCCCCACAACAAGAGAAGCCACCACAATGAGAAACCCGCGCACCGCAACGAAGAGTAGCCCCCACTCACCACAACCTAGAGAAAGCCTGTGTGCAGCAACGAAGACCCAACGCAGCCAAAAATAAATAAATAAATAAATTTATTTTTTTTTATTGGCATGTTTAGTAAAAAAAAAGTGAGATGCCAAAAAAAACAAAACAAAAAACACAATCAAACAAAAAAACTCCAGGAAACTGGAGTCGATTGCAGGAACTGATTGGGAAAGGAAGATGCTAATAATATCACCTCAGCTCATCGAAACTGCTGTGGTCTGCAAGGTAAAGGGAGAAGGATAAGCAATAATCCTATTGCAAGAAGGAATTAGGGGGTATTAGTACATGCATCCTACTTCAGTCATAGGATGGGAACTGTTTTGACCATTTGCTCACAAGACCTGTTGAAGTGTCACAGGAGGAAAATGCTTGTGCACCACGTGACATTCCTGAAAGGAATCTCTAAAAATTCTTATCACCCTTTCTCAAAAATGTTCACAGGATCACACACACACATTGTTCTGGCAGTTTCGTTTTGTTTTGTTTTGAATGCAAGCATCCTTCATAAGAAACCTATCGCCCTATATCCCCCAAATTATATGACATCAGAGAATCAATCTGACTAAAAAATAAAACACTGAAAGGGCATTCATGCACCCGATGTTTAATTCTAGACATACTTTCTTACCTGATGCCGAGTCAGGTGGGTCCTGCCCCACCTTTCTTCGAACTCTCCTTCCACCGATTTCCCTTTAAGAACGTCTGCCAGGATTCCAGGGCTGGAACGACGAGCAAGAACGGACGGTGCAGGAAAAAGCAACCCTTACTTCTCCCTCTCGTTCTCCTGATCCAACTTGTTTCACGTCCCAGGCAAAGACAGCGCCTCACCACCTGGCACCACCAGCTCCACAGAGCTGGAGCGATCCCACCAAGTAGCTCCCCTGCATCCCCTCTCTGTCACCCTCAGAGACAAGCAGGAAAAACGGCATCAATCCCGTGGCAGATATCAGGCAGGAAAGAACAGCGGTAAGACCTGCTGCTCACAAAGAGGAGGAAATGATGAAGGAGGCAGTGAGTGGGATGTAGCAGAAAAAGGACAGCAGCGGCGGAAGGGACACCTACCCACTCAAGCCTAACTCCAAGCCATCTCCGCCCTGTTGTCATAGCACTTTACAACGAACGCTACTGCGCAACTCAGCTGAGCCCCGATGCCTTCTGGGGGTTGTAGTCCTGGGTGTCAGGAGAGAGGAAGGCGGAGGATTTTTTTCTGAGTGATGTTTGGAATCAGATTTCTACTGGGCGGAGCTAGAATGAACTACTGCCCGGTCTTCATTAGCAGAGAGAGAGAGAGAATTAATTCGACTCCTCTTTTCTGTTCTTGTACAGTTCCTTGGACGCGGGTTCTGAGGAAGACCCACCTCCCGCCCCCCGGCGGGGACGCAAGCCACGCCCCTCCCACTCCTTTCTCCGTTCCCGCCGCTCGTGGGTGGGGCTTTCCTAGGAGGCGGGGCTAGGGCGGCGCGGGGCGGGGCGTCTGGGTTGGTCTCTGGGGCGGAGCGTCCGAGGCCCGAGCCACCCAGCGACCTCTTCTCTTGACCCGAAGGCGCAGGAGGCCCCGTCCATGGACCAAGCGGCCATGGCGAGGGTGAGCGCGGTAGCAAGCGCCAGCGTGTGCGCCGTGGTGGCTGGGGTGCTGCTGATCCAGTACATTGTTACCTTGAAGAGGAAGGAATATGAACTGTGCGTGGGACACCCGGAACGTGCTGTTCTATAACAACAGCGCTGGAAAAACACTACCTGATTGCTTTCCCTTGGTTTTCTTCTCGATTTTGTAGACCAACTTCTTTCTGCAACACAATTACATTTTCTTTGTTTGTAAATCACAGCTTCCAAAGACTATATCCCCCTTCTTGACTGGATTTGGATGCCTTATAAGATATCATACAGGTCATTTATTGGCCCAGGTAACTTCCATCGTTATCGAGCGCAAGTTTGTGTGCCCGACACACAGTGAGGCCAAACAAACGCAAATGTTGGAGCTTGGAGCAGAGAAAGATTTATCGCAGGGCCATGCCAGGAGAACTGTTTGCTCATGCTCAAAAAAAAAAAAAAAAAAACCCTGAACTCTCTGAAGGGTTTCACCAAAGCATTTTTAAAGGCAAGGTGAGGGAGGGGCGTCCCAGGGTATGTGATCAGCTACTGCACAACTCTCTGATTGGTTGATGTTGAGGTAACTGGGTGGTTAATTTAACATTATCAATCCTTAGGTGCCAGAAGGTCTGGGGGCTGGGGCTCATGATCATCAAGTAGTTAATTTCTTCCACTTGTGGTTTTTACCAAATGAAAAACTCAGGAAATATGCATGAGATACTATTATCTGGGTACTTCCAACAGGAGCTATAGCAGAGTATATGGGGGAGGGGTCTATCCTGGAAGGCCCCCACAGGGTCCTGATCTGTTACACATGAATGGCTGAATCATACATTCATGCAACAATTTTAATTGGCTTCATTCTTAGAGGAAGAGGTCATTTCCAAGTTCCAGAACATATATCAGCATAATTTCACATGTCTGTGCATAGCTTCTGTGTTTGTGTTTTCTTGAATAAATTTGAAAGAGCTCTTCACTTTGAGTTATTAACAACTGAATATTTTGGCAAGCATTTCCCTTATGCAGTTATTTTTAATTCCTCTGCAGCTTCTTCCATTATTTCAAGGCTGAAAAAATTATATATCAGATACAGTTTCAAAGCACAACCTAGTTAAGCACCTTACACTTTTGCATCCTGGCTCCATGACCTACTAGTTCTGTTTCCTTGGGCATGTCAGTTAACTCTCGGGCCTCATTATCTGTAAAATAAGGATAGTACACATGGGTATTACGTACAGCACTTATTACGATTTTAAAAATTAAATCAACTCCTATTAAGGGCTTAGCTCAATGACCGCATAAAAAGTACACAGTGTATATTAGCTTTTCTTTTCCATAACCCAAACCTTATCTGAATACAGTATACTACACTGACTATACATACCATGGATCACATGTTCTGGAAAATTGGAGAATTTCTGTGGAAGCCTTGCTTTCTTCCAAAACTAGATGAATCCTACTAACATGTAACGAGCAGCTCCTGTACGCCTAGACACTGGGGGAATACGAAAATTACTTGCACAGGTTTCCCGGCCTTCAGGGACGAAGATCTCGAGAGGAGGCGTCCGACCCGGAGAGGGGCCCAGCCACGCGCAGAACTGGCTCAGGGTCCCGACAGAGCGTCCTCAGCACCGAGACTCCTGGCCGCCGCCAGGGAGCGCGCTCCGGCCTCCGGCACCAGCCGACCTGACTTGCAGGACCCGGCGCTCCGATCAACAACTTGAGGCCGCGCTGGCCTTTGGGCGGCACGGTGCAGGCGGCCGCGGAGGGGACACCCGGCTCGGCCCGGCGGGACGCGGATCGGCAGCGGGAGGGGGCGCTGCGGGGCTAGGCGTGCGCAGCGCAGAGGAAGTACCGTCTTCGCCGCGCCGGCCGCCTCAGCCGCGCCGCACGGGGCCGCTTCAGCCGCGCCGCGCGGGGCCGCGATGTCGTCCCGACCCGGGCGCGACGACGCGGGGGCAGGGGGCGCACGGCGGCCGCGGGAGCCTCCGGAGCAAGAGCTGCAGCGCCGCCGGGAACAGAGGCGGCGGCGACACGACGCGCAGCAGCTGCAGCAGCTCAAGCACCTGGAGTCCTTGTGAGTCCGTCACGCCCGCCCCCGACTAATGCGAGGAATGGGGTCGGGGCCCGCGGTCGCGCGGCGGAGCCCGCCCGGCGTTGGAGACCTGCGAGTGGGCAGGTGGGCCCGTCCCCAGCGAGCCGGGTGCGGGTTTTGATCCCGGGCTGCGGGACGCTGGACTCTCAGCCTTTGGAGGAAGAGGGGGGAGGCTCCATCCCCAGGCTCGTCCCGGGCGCGCGAGGCGGCGGCGGGCGGGCGCTTCTCCGCCGGAAACGACGGTTTTATTCCTCGTGCGGCGACGTCGGTGTCGGTCAGGATTTGAGTACAGAAGAAGTGCGGCTGCGCCCTTGGGTCCTTTCCCATTTCTCAGTTCAAGGGGCTCGCTCTGAACTGGGTAAAATCCCCATTCTTTTCATCTAGTGCTGTTAGCTAGGGAGGAAAAAGCCCAGTCCCGTAACGTGAGTGCGCGGTGAGGAAGGGAAGAAAAAACGTGGGGTGAGGGCCTGGTCCCTGACTCTTCGGGAGGAGCTGTCAGGTAGAAGAGAGCGTGGACTTCTTTCTCGTCCCCAGGATTTTTTTTACCAGGGTTAAGGGTGGAAGCTACAAAGAGGCCAGTTCCAGCTCAACAAGAAGAATTAGGACCAGAGTCATAGATTCTTGCTGGTCAGCGTGGCCTGACCTAGGAGGCACTGTACTCCCCCAGCTACCCGGGAGAGAGTCCAGATAACCCCTGGGAGAAGGGTTGGTTGTAAAGGAGATTTAAACATCAGGTGGAAGGTTGGATTAATGACCCTTGCGGTTCTTTTCTGTGTTTCTGTCGTTCTGTAATCAGCTTTAGAAGTCTGACTTTACTAAGTTTGGTGTTCACTGAGTTATCTGAATTATTTGTTTTAGGCGCTTCCCATTACCTACCTTCTCATGATTGCTGAGACAGCATGAAAAGTCCTTAAAGGGTTAATCCTTCATTATTAACCGCTGGGAGCTTTGGCACAAAATGCATACTTCCTCGTAGCCTGGCCTGCTCTTTTCAGCGTGGCTCTTGAGCTGAATTTCATTTCAGTGGGCAGTGGTTGTGGATTGCTGGCATCCACGGTCCTGGCCCCTTCAGGGCACTCTGGGAGGCTCTTTGTTGCCTGTGCAAGGCCGATGTTGAACAGTGTTCCCTAGGATAAGTTCCGGCAGGGCTCAGCCGCCCTACCCCACCCCCTAGCCCTCAGTATCCTAACTGTAGGATGCCACATAGTTGTTAATACTCTACATTTATTTTGTAGCTCAGAGCGCACTCACAGACATCCTTTTATAACCTCCTTTTGCACATGAGAAAATGCAGGTTCAGCAGTTAAGTAACCTAATAAAGCACACACGGAACTGTAAACTAACAAAACTAAAGAGAAACCGGGGTGTCTGATTCTCAGACCAGTGGGATTTTTCAGCTCAGAGATTTTAAAAGTTCTGGGCTGTTGACATATTTATAGTTTGCCTAGTTCAGAGGCTTCTTTCCTTTTAAATGGAAGTCTGTATTTCCAGAATAATACTTTAACGTAGTTTAAACATTAAATAGTATGAAAAGTCTAATTTCAAAAAATAGTGGTTTGTATCTCTACTCACACTCCCTGTACCTTTCCCTCCAACCAAGGCTTCAATGGGGAAACTTAATTTTTTCTCTGGGATTTAACTATTTCTGAATTATATGCTTTTACTGCTTTTTTTCGATTGAATAGTAAATGTTACCTATTAAGCTCATGTTATAGTAGATGAGGGTTTAGTTCTCTTTCTCTTCCTTTCTTGTCTCCAGCCTTGTATCCCCTCTCAGGATTTCTGTGTGGCTTCTAACCTTTTTTTATTTCTTTAATTGTCATTTTAAGAGAGTCTGGGAAAGGAAGACAGGTAAGTAAGTTGGTCAACCAGGCATGTTAAGTTCCACTGTGGTTTTTTACAAGTGGAATTCAAATCCTTTTGCCACCTGGTATGCCCTCTTTAGTTACCCTCACACTCCTCTGGTCATTTTCTTACACCTGACCTTAATTTTTCTTACTCTTACCATACCTGCCAGGCCCCCAAAGGCATCTGAGTCTTCCACACATGCTCCTGTCCATTTTCCAGCTCTGTCACTCAAGTGCTCCTGGGCTACTGGGCATAACAGAACGGACATTTTGAGTATATGTGGAGTTTCATCTCTGCCTTCCAGCCCCCATAGGGCCAGGCTACAGGAACAACTGGGATGGAGTATGCTTACGTGAAGGACTCTTCCAAAAGAAATCCTACCCCAACACTCAAATACACAAAGAGTATTATTAAGTACTTGGCAAAATAAAGATTTTTTTGTCCCATGCCTATTTAGGAGATAATCTCTTATCAAAATTTATCTTAATTTAGTCTTCATACTGCCCAGGGCAACCTGTCACAATCTGAATGATATAATGGCAAGGATTTACAGATGGCACAAAATAATGGGCCTCCACTAACTTTCTTTAATTTTGAGGATTTATTACAAAGATAATGCACACTTCTCAGCTGTCACAGCACAGAAGCCAAGCTACTCAGTAAACACACTCCGATTCTCATTTCCAAATCTGTTATTTTCAATAGTTAAATATTACCTTAATCTTTGAGAAATATCTTTTTAACATGCTACCTAAACTAATGAATTGTTTAGCCCTAGGAAAAAAATCAACCACATTCCTTTACACTTGTGGCAACAGTTCTAAAATGGACTTTTTTAGGGAAGTCCATTGCTAATAATAAGAGATTTCAAAATGTGCAGTTCCAGGGGCTTCCCTGGTGGCGCAGTGGTTGAGAACCCGCCTGCCAATACAGGGGACACGGGTTCGAGCCCTGGTCTGGGAAGATCCCACATGCTGCGGAGCAACTGGGCCCGTGAGCCACAACTACTGAGCCTACGCGTCTGGAGCCTGTGCTCCACAACAAGATAGGCCGCAACAGTGAGAGGCCCGTGCACCGCGATGAAGAGTGGCCCCCACTTGCCGCAACTAGAGAAAGCCCTTGCACAGAAACAAAGACCCAACACAGCCAAAATATAAAAATAAATTAAAAAATAAAAAAGAAATGTTCAGTTCCGTCACATTTTTTTTCTATCTAGGCAAAAACATTTACATATTTTTGAGGAATATAGATAGTTTGACCATGTTATTTATACAACTCCTATGGCAAAAATAAATTATTGTCGGATTACTGGATATTTACATAGACTTTACCACCTCCCTTCCAAACTCCCTTAAGTCCCAATGCCTAAGACATAGCATTAATGTTTCTAATGAAGGGCTGCTGATGGACCGTATCACCTGCCCAATTTATGCAAATTTCCATTATTCCTCCTAAAAGAGGCCTAGGCCTATGACATGCGACAGCTTTCCATTGGAAAATATTTTAAGAATTTGCTTTGGAAATACCATACCTAAAAAGCTTTGTACTGTATCTAAAAGGCTAATTCTACTTATACCCAGTTGTTTATTGTGTAATCTTCAGGGAGTAAATCTTAGAAAGGCCCTGGATTAGTGACAGTGAGGGTGAGGATGGACACTAGACGCCTCCATCATAATCCTTATTTGGAAGAGTGCAGAGATGTTTGCAAGTCCAGGTTGGTACCTGCTATAAATTGGAGGTTTCCACAACCCCCTCCTCTAGTTTGGTTAATTTGCTAGAGCAGCTCATAGAACTCAGGAAAATGTTTTACTAACTGGATTACTGGTTTATTATAAAAGGTTATAACTCAGGAACAGCCAGATGGAAGAGATACATAGGGTAAGGTATGTGAGAAGCTCTGTAGAGTTTCCATGCCCTCTCCAGGTATGCCGCGCCTTCACGTGTTCACCAACCCTGAAGCTGTCTTAATGCCATCCTTTTGGGTGTTTATAGAGGTTTCATTATAGGGGCTTGATTGATTCATCATTGGCCATTAGTGATTAATTCAACCTTCCTGGAGGTGGGGCTGAAAGTTCCAGTCCTCTAATCACATGGTGATTTGCTGAGCCTCAGAGGAGGTAGGGATAGATTTGCTGAACCCTGATCTACCACCTCTGCACCTCTGATATACCTCACTGCACCCCACAGGCCTGCAAGTCTTATAACTGCCCAGCCACAAGACCAAAGAAAGAGCCTGGAGATAGCAACAGAGACACTGAAGGTTTCTTGGATAGGGGATCTTATAAGACTGAAGCAAAGTCCTGGAGCAGCACCCCACTGTGTACAGCAGACAGCAGTCAGGACACAGACAGCAGTCTTTGCTTGGGGGGTGGGGAGGTTTACCAGTTACAGTGGGGATTGACATCAGGTTGGCTCATCAGTTACCAGGGAAACCAGCAGAGAGGTGTGTCCCTCACAGCCCCTCAGGTTATCAGCTGTCACAGGGCAGAGGTTTTCACTTTGATAAACTATCCTAATGGAGCTGTTAGCTGGGGCGGGGCAAGCACAGAGGCAGTTATTGAATAAGTTCTGTGATTAAGAGGGAAGGTCAGTCATGCAGGAAGGTGTAGGTGAAGCGCAGGGACTGATCAAATAGGGGATATAAAGAGAGCCAAAGAACAGCCATCTTAGGTGACATGATCCTATACCAGCTCACCTGCATGGGGAAAAGGCAGTGATCCCTGGAGCTAGATGTTGAAGAGTCGCATGGCCTAGAAAGGTAGTAAACCCGGCTGGGGATGATGTCTGTAGAAAGTCCGCTGCCAGTCTATGCCCACCTCCTCTTAGGAGCAGCTGGTAAATCCCCGTAAAGCTGCAGATCTGTAAAAAGATGTGAGGGTTGGCGAGGCCTCTCTCTTGGGTCCCGATCTTGGCCTTTATGATGCTAGTGCCTAATCTTGAGCTGCCTCATGAGGCTACTAAGAGCACTAACTTTTCTTCAACAGAAGAGGCAGAAGCCAGCATTGTGGAGTGCCTTTCACATGTTTGCTGTGAACTATTTACCCATGAGGAAATTGAGGCTCTGGGGGTTTAAGTAACTTGCACAAGGTAGACAGCAGTGAGAGTGGATCACAATTCAAAGTAAAATTTTTTTACCTGCAAAGCCCATTCACACTGATTTAGAACTGGAAAACATTCTGGCTGGGATATGGGGTTCTCTGCTCCAAAAAAACAAAACATCTCCTTTATCAAGACAGTTCTAAAGAATGTCTAAAGAGAAAAATGATACAATTTGTTAACGAGTTTGATGTCCTTAATTCAAGGGAAAACAATCCATGGACTGAGAAGTACAGCACTTCACATGCAGTGGAACACTCTTCCCAGGGATTTTGGACAAGAGCGGGTTTTATGGGGCCTCAGGTGAGGCAATTTGGAAATAGGGCACGATTGGCTAGAGGGTCAGGGATTTCCTTATCAGACTAGCACGTCGTCTTATCTAGGGTCAGATAAGCTAAATTAAGCTGAGGTGGAGGATCGTGACTGGGGTATTCCAGATTTCCTTGATAGTGAGGCACTTCCCATTAGTTCAGGCTGACTTCGGTTTAGATTTGTGACATGAGCTGGGTCACTGGGGAGGCCTCCACTCTGGGGGTCCCAAGCTACAAAGTACCTTTGTCAAGAATTACATGGGTGTTTCTGAGAGGAGTTTCAACTTTATGGCTTTTCTAGATTTCATTTAGGAGTACCCTTATCCCCTTAGTTCTCCCTTCTGGTACTTAGCACTAAGCCTGGCATGATTATTGTTGACTGGTTACTTCTGCAAGGAGTAAGTTTTTAAGTTGAACCTTCAATATCACCTGAAAATTAAGTTTAGTTTCTCCTAATATACCTGTTCTTTTTTGGTAGGTGGAAATAGCAAGTTGGTTAGAGCAAGAGTGAGGATTTAATTACTGAAACAATTAGAGAAATAACATTGAAATTTTAAAACAAAAATGCAGCCTGTATAACTCTATAGCAGAAATGAGCTCCTATTAGCATATTTTGGGCCTTTTTTCTTTTTTTCCTACGTCCCAAGTAACCTTTGGTTTATCTCTCAGACCTTTATTAGCCTGGGCTTATACCAACATAGGTGTAAGGAAGATGACATTAATTTCATTTTTCTTTTGTAACTAAAAAACATTGAGGCAGTGTATTTGCATGTAAATAAATATAAGTGAAAAATAAAGCTCCCTCCCTCAGGTATCCTATATATATATAATCTCCCTTTTCCCATACACACAAATAGAACCATACCAAGCACACTGTCCTATACACTACTGCTTTCTTTCTTTTAACTTAAACAATTTTTGACTAGTTTGGGGATAATTAGTATCTATTTGACTAATAGATAAATGATTAACCATTTTAGAATTTATTATTTTCACTGTAAAAAATTCAAAAAATTAATCATCTCTGAACTCACCTTCTGTGTGTAGCAACTTTGGGAATCCCCCATTTCCAAGTTATTGGAGCCAAGTTTTAAACCAGCCACAGCATCCTGATGCCCTCTCTCAGTAAAATTTCGTTATAGAGGCATTGAAAAGACCTCAGATGTTCAGTTGTTCTGCCTCTTTTTCCAACTACTTTCTTTTGGCTGCATCATGTGACATGAGGGATCTTAGTTCCCAAACCAGCGATTGAACCCGTGCCCCTGCATTGGGAGGACAGAGTCTTAACCACTGGACCACCAGGGAAGTCCCTCCAACTACTTTTCTTTAAGAAGGGGGTTGTGTCAATTAGGCACTCATTTAAAAGCCAGACACCCATGCTATGTGCTGCATAGCCTGGAATGTGTCAGTACTTGAAACTGAACATAATTACACCTGAAAGTAATACAGTGTTATATGTCAATTATATCTCAATTTTTAAATTTTAAAACTGATTTGTTTAAAATGAACCCTAGCATTGGATGCTGCTTTTCTAGATTTGGCATCCATCAGCCTTTTCCAGAAGTTCCAGCGGAGTGATGAGAAGTGGAAATGAGTTGGGAGCACAGGCATGATTTGTATCCTCAGGACCCTGGGGGTCTGAGAGCTCTCTCTGTTGGTGGAAGGGGAAGTACATTTGCACACTATCAGTCACCTGCCTCTCTAGCGGTAGTTCTTCATTGAGTGCCAGCCTGTCGTCCAGGCACCAAGCAGGAGTCCTGCATCCCTGAGTCCCAGGAGGTCAGTAGGGACATAAAGGGCAGTCAGAGAGCTGCGCAGCAGATGGCAGCCCAGCAGCCCACTCTGCAAACAGGATAGGCCAGTGGGGAGGATCTTGAATCCGGAGCTTTTGGGGCTGGGGGAGGGGGAGGGGGAAGGCGAGGTGGGAGGGGGAGCCTCTGGGACAGATCACCCTCCCCTCCTTCCCCTACAACAGGCCCTTCCCTCAGGCTTTGCTCCCTCCCCTCTGCACAGCCCCCACCCTTGTCAGAACAGATCACTCACACACCCCCACCCCCATGAGCCTCTCAGTGTTATGGAAGCTGGAAGTTATGGTAGGTAAATCAACCAACAACTGTAATGACAGGCTGGAACCGTAATTCGTTCAAGGCTCTTGTTACCTCACATTTTCCCTGCAATCTCTTGCTTTCCCTTCTTCCAAAAATAAAATCATTGTCCTAAGACACCAAGTTAGTTATTATTTTGGTGAATTTAAGTGCTATATCCCAGCAGGATATGGTATAGCATCAGTTTATTTATATAAGACCTCTGACTGCTAGGCATATTTTATTAACTATGTTAATTATAATATGGTTTTAAGTTCTTACTAAAAATATCCTTTTTATTTTGGTCTGCAGTTGCCTTTTGCTGATTGAGATGTGTTACGTTCCTATGAACATGGCTCATGACTGGTGTTTTCTTCCTTTCTAGTTATGAAAAACCTCCTCCTGGACTTATCAAGGTCAGTGTGAAGTTTGTACTTTTGGTTTTTCTCTGAGACAGATTTGACTCGGTGCTCAGACTCAGTCACTTACGAAAAACAGCTGCATAAGGTTTGAACCTCCTTTTATGATAGTTCTGTGTCTTCCCTGCAGATGGCAGTCGGTTCATGCACTTTGGGCTTTGTCACAGCCTGTGCCTTTGCAGAAATTTAATCAGCCTTGTGTCTGTCCCCTAAGAAACCACTGCAGGCCCCCCGAGTGTTCCTCAGCGCTCACTCCCATTCTTTCTGTCTCACTGTGACTGCATCTCCTCAAAGCTCTCCTGCCCCATGTTCCTTCTCTGACCCACCCGGTGCTGATTTCTTGAATGTCATCAGCTCAGAGAACATTGGACTCTGAGGAGACGTGAAGCTCATCCAGTCCAGCCCTACCTGTTGCAGGAGTCCCTCCTCCAGCACCCTGGCCACAGTGTCAGTGTCTTTCTGCAGGAGCGAGACTTAGAGGACTTAAGGCCAAAGTAACCTTTTCTGTTTGGTAACTTTCAACTTAAAAAAAAGATTTTTAGAAAACATTCGTCCATTATAAATTTAATATTCGTGGAAACTTGAAAAAATTATAAGGTAAGGGCTTCCCTGGTGGCGCAATGGTTGAGAGTCCACCTGCCGATGCCGGGGACACGGGTTCGTGCCCCAGTCCGGGAAGACCTCACATGCTGCGGAGAGGCTGGGCCCGTGAGCCATGGCCGCTGAGCCTGCGCATCCGGAGCCTGTGCTCCACAACGGGAGGGGCCACAACAGTGAGGCCCACGTACCGCAAAAAAAAAAAAAAAAAAAAAAAAACTCATAAGGTAAAAAAACAGCACCTTAATTATATAGTGCAGTTATTTGGTAATGAAAATACATCTCACTAACACGGCATGTGTGAGATTATAAAACATGACAGTGGCCTTCAAGGTCTAATAATCTATTTTACTCTAACACATTGTTCTTATTATTCCAGGAAACCTTACTTGTTTAACTCTATATTCTGCCTCATTCCACAAAGCTTTTAAGTTAGCAGAAAACCTTTTGTGATCTTAGAATCTAATTTTTGTGATCTAGGATCAATTTGGAGCTCACAGATCAATCCTATGTAAACACTAGTAACTCTTCTCTAAGAACAGCTACTTTGTTTTCATGGTATAGCTAGCTCTTCTAGTATAGTTACTTCCGTTTTTTCTGTCAGTTATGATTTGTCTTTCTTTCTAGCTCTTCAGAGGGTAACTTATGATGACATTGGGATCTCCAGCCCATGAGAAAGCCAGGCAGGGCTGTGTTCTCGGACAGGTGGGAGAGAGTTCCGGTGCTTTTTTTGCCGCACAGCTTACACACTGTTTCCTTTTCAGGAAGATGAGACTAAGCCAGAAGACTGTATACCAGATGTCCCAGGCAATGAACATGCCAGGGAATTTCTGGCCCACGCACCAACCAAAGGACTTTGGATGCCACTGGGGAAAGAAGTCAAAGTCATGCAGTGTGAGTGTGGAAGGGTTTCAAGTAACACCCTCAATACATGCAAGTTATAGACCACTGTTTACAAACGAGTTCACTTCTTTTAATTCATTCTCACCACAGCCCTGCTAAAGTCAGGGCATGATCTCTGTGCTATAGATGAGGAAGCCGCCTTGCATATGTTATTAAGTGTTCTGTGGTAAGAGGCAGTGCGGTGCCTAGACTCCAGGGCTTCTGGCTGTAAGGAAAATGGTCTTCCACAGGGCCGTAGCTGCCTGCGGAGTATACGCTTCAGTAATATTCCTGTAACAGAAAGGATATTCCATGTAGAAATGCCATGGGGGACAAGGGATACATTGGAGGGTGGTCCCTTGGGTCTTACCTCAGTCAGTCATCCTCATCAGAGGTGTTGAGGTTTTATCCAGGTAACCTGAGAGGAGCTCTGGGCCACAGAGGATGGGTCTGGAACAGGTAGAGCTCTGTGTGCACACCCTCCACCGCACCAGAGCAGCAGCATCTTCATCCAGCGTAAGACGGCATTTGAAGAAAGGATACGGCTGCCTTTAAAGACATTTTTTTGTACAAAGATTCTTCACGCACATAATATATCGGTTCTCAGCCCCTTTCCTTCATTCCCCTCACCTAAAAGGCGACCACCTCAACCTCTTTTAGGAAGGTTGTTTTGAAGTTTATCCCTATGTATCTATAAAGGTTTTTGGGGGGGTTTTAATTAATTAATTAATTTGGCTGTGTTGGGTCTTCGTTGCTGCACACGGGCTTTCTTTAGTTGCGGCGAGCGGGGGCTACTCTTGATTGCAGTGCGCGGGCCTCTCACTGCAGTGGCCTCTTTTGTTGCAGAGCATGGGCTGTAGGCACGCGGGCTCAGTAGTTGTGGCTCACGGGCTCCAGAGCGCAGGCTCAGTAGTTGTGGCACACAGGCTTAGTTGCTCCGTGGCACGTGGGATCTTCCCAGACCTGGGCCCGAACCCATGTCCCGTGCATTGGCAGGCGGATTCTTAACCACTGCGCCACCAGGGAAGTCCCTATCCCTGTGTATCTAGATAACAGGATTACATTCCTGCCCCTTGATTTTTCAGGTTTCTTCATTATCTGTTGACTTCTTCCTATAGAAGACAAGAATTCAGCTCTTTTTTTCTTCCTCCATCCCATCTCATACACATACCCTTCATATATCTCATTGTCCCAGTAATAGTTTTATCATAAATTTAGTTAAGTAAACCCTTTGTGTTTATTATTTTCAGAGTTGAATCCCATATTAAACTGATTACATTTCTTTCTTTTTTCTTTTTTTCTTTTTTTTTTAAATTATGGTTAAAAACCGCTCCTCTCTGTGATAGGGTAGTTAGTTGTGCTTCACTTACCATTTTACAGTTCTTTTCTTTTTTTTTTTTTTTTTTTTTTTTGCGGTATGCGGGCCCCTCACTGTTGTGGCCTCTCCCGTTGCGGAGCACAGGCTCCGGACGCGCAGGCTCAGTGGCCATGGCTCACGGGCCCAGCCGCTCCGTGGCATGTGGGATCTTCCCGGACCGGGGTCCGAACCCGTGTACCCTGCATCAGCAGGCAGACTCTCAACCACTGCGCCACCAGGGAAGCCCCAGTTCTTTTCATTGACTTGCAAATTAAAAGTGTTTAGTCTGGACCAGAACCAGTTTTACATGAAGTTAATGAAGCTTAACCTTTAGGTTCCCTTGTACCTTCCAAAGGTCTTTGGAGTCCCACCAGTGTAGTCATATGGTTCTTTCTTTCTATAAAAATTTGCCTAAAGAGCCCTTCCTCTCCTTAATTTATGTAAGCGGCAGACTCCACAAAACTTGGATCCATCCCAGATGGAAAAACACATGCACACATAACCCCGTATTCATTGATTTCCATGATCCTAGTGTTATCTAGAGCAGAGCTTCTCAAACTTAGGGTGGGCTTGAGATTCTGTATTTCTGACAAGCTCCCAGGTGATGCTAATCTTGCTGGTCTGTACCACACTTTGAGTAACAAGGATCACCTTTCCTTTAACAAAGAGTTTTGATCACAGATGGTATGGATCCTTCTTGATACCCACACATCAATCCGTGGCATTTAAAATCCCCCCCTTTTTATCATAAAGACAGACATGTGTTTGAAGCGGTCTGCATTTGCATTAAGAGTGCATTCCTTCTTCCCCAGGTGGAAATAGTGGGGAGATAAGGACAGGGGCAGGTCAGAGAATCCCTAAACTTCATTTTTTCCCAATGGTTTCCTACTACCAACTCTCAAATAAAAATATAAAGGGGAAAACATTATTTCCCTGTCACTACATAATTTCAGTAGCTACCAGCGTGGAGCAAATTGGGCTGATCTTACCTATAATCCCTCTTCCTGCTTCCTGACCTCCTTGGTTGGAGTTGCTTGATGCCTGTATAGTTTACTAGGTCTGCTGTAACAAAGTACCACAAACTGTATGACTTAAATGAGAAATTTATTGTCTCACAGTTCCGGAGGCTAAAAGTCCAAAGTCAGGGTGTCCTCCTGAGGGCTGTGAGGGAAGGATGTATTCCAGGCCTCTCTAAAAACCCTGTCTCCCAGTAAGGTCACATTCTGAGGTACTAGGGGTTAGGACAATTCAATACAGTGGGGAAGCAGACGGGATGACACAATTCAACCTGTAACACAGTTAAAAAACAAAAAAATCACACTTTGCTTTTTGCATGGGATTGTTTAGTAAGTACTTGGTTCATTTCTAAACCTCTACGATTAAAGGATACTTGAGGAAGTAATTGGTTTCCCTCTCTTTTCTGGGATCTTACATGGCTCATCCATTAATTATATTTGCTTTTAAAATTGGAATCTAATGAAGAATATCTTTAATATGATCTACTGATACCTTTATCTTGATTGAGTAAAAATGCATTATCTTACAGAAATATATCCCTTTTTCTTTGTTTGCAGGTTGGCGTTGTAAACGGTATGGTCACCGAACGGGCGACAAAGAATGCCCTTTCTTTATCAAAGGCAACCAAAAGTTAGAACAGTTCAGAGTAGTAAGTAAAACCCCAGAGTGTCAATTTACGTTTACTGGAGATGATGAATGTTGGTGAATCAGGCAGTCACCAGTGAACTGGAGGTTCACATAAAATACATTCCGAAAGCCTTTAACCCAAAGTATCTGGTGTTAACTACATCTCTGTTAAATCGAATTTGTGTGAAAGATTAGTTCATTAACAAAAAAATGCGTATTAAAATGTTATTTGCTTTTGTCTTGGGAACAGTGCTTCTTTTTCTGAAGCAGGCATTTTTATCAATTCAGTTAGTTTTTTTTCTTTTTTTTTTTTTTGGCATGCAGCTTGTGGGATCTTAGTTCCCTGACCAGGGATCAAACCTGGGCCCTCAGGAGTGAGAGCGCAGAGTCCTAACCACTGGACTGCCAGGGAATTCCCCAGTCAGTCTTTTTTTACTTATGTAAAAAACTCATATTTCATAAATAAAATCAGGGTTCTAGTTTCCCAGTCTTTGTCTAAAGTCTGTATATTTTTCTACCATAAACTGGAAGTGTGTGTATAAACGATGTACCCTCTTTAGATGACAGTAAAATCAATCTATCATTTCATCACTTTAACAAAGTCACCTCCCAGGGTTAACTCACCATTCAGTAACTGTTTTGGTCAATTTAACTATGCTATTACTGGATATATTGGGATTATCAGCATATCAAACAGGGGTATATAAACATTCTCCAAGGATTTTAAGATATTTAAAATACTGGGTTTTCATTTTACTAATTTACAGAAAATATTCTGGATAAATCACTGCTACCTGGAATGTCAACTTTTACAGTGCCTGTAATAGATAATTTAATGATAAATCTCAAAAACTGAAACATATTCATATTTTTAAAATTTAGGAACCTAAATTCTAAGAATTGATCTAAGGATATAACAACATCAGTATGCACAAATTATTATGAATGTATAAGGATAACTTTCAGAATTATTTATATGATTAGCAAATAGAAACTGAAGAAAAATAGGAAACAACTGCAGTGTCCAATATACAACATAAGTTACCACAACATATAAATCATATAGCTTTTAAGAATTATGTTTTAAAAGAATATGTAATGTCATAGGAAGATAATCATGAAAGCATAAGTGAAAAAGAGAATAGGGTTGTATATATAACATGATTATAATCTTCTGTAAATTATGAATAATGACTGGAAGAACCACACTAAAATATTAACAGTGGATATCCCGGCTGGTAAAATAATAGATATTATTAACTTTATGTTTTCTTTGATATGTAAAAATTTTATAATAAACATACTTTTAAAGATAATTCACATGCCATAAAATTCATTCTGTGTATTCATATTTTTAAGTAATTTAAGTAGCTTTTAATTATACAAATATCATAAGAATAAATTTGCCTTATTTTAACAAAATGGAAACATTACAGTAAGGTTTTTCACAATTGATTTTTCAAGTCCAATCTTGCCTCTCTCCCCAGAGGGAATTTGTAGTAAGTAGCTTGAATATACTTCCAGACTTCTCTTTGGTCATATCCAGTATGTTTTTGTGTACCTATAAATGAATCATTCTTACGCATCATTTCCAAATCACCTGTTTTGCTTAATAATATCTCTTGATCATCTTTCCACATAGAACAAATAGAATTACCTCAAGATTTTTAACCTTGAGTGGTATTTAATAATGATTTTGCCATGGTTTATTTCCTTATAAAGGCTATGTAAATTATACCCTGTATTTGTATAACTGGAAAATCTTTTTTATAGCCTCCAGGAGTTTGAAATGATGGTAACCCTTAGGAAGGATTAGAACGTATTAAATATAAAATCATACCACACAGGAGGGGAAAAAATTAGTTTCAGTGAAAGAGGGATTTAATTTAACAGTCTATGAAGCCTAACCTAACCATAACCTTCTCTAACCCTCAAGGCACACGAAGATCCCATGTACGACATCATTCGAGAGAATAAAAGACATGAAAAGGATGTAAGGTGAGATTGTCCAGATGATAACAATATCCTCTTAAAGTTTGAAATTATATAGTTAGAACCTTTATAAATTAAAAATTTTTTGATTCCAGTATTAGAGGAGTGGTTTTAGTAAATATGGTACTTTAATTGCAAAATACTTGGAAGACAGGAATAGTCCCTGAAAAAGCCAGTGTGTGGGGAATGAGCAGGCCAGCCTGTTCTACTTGGGTTAACTTAAAGCAATGGGCTTGGCCCAGCCCACTCATGTCACTGATAGTTGACGTTGGCAACTGTAATTTATCTTCTCTAGATCTTCTTTAAAGATCTGAGCTTTTGTTAAAAATTCCTAGACAGGGTTAAAGACAGGGTGAAAAAACAAGAGGACTTTTTTTGGGGTTTGGGGGGTATTTTTTCAAATTGGTGATACTGAACTATAATTATATATAATTATTATATATAATATATATACATAACATATATTCTTCTTCAGATTCTCTTCCCTTACAGGTTATTACAAAATATTGAGTATAGTTCCCTGTGCTGAATTATAATTGTTGAGGAGGTAGATTACTTAGTATGAACTTGAACAGTAGGGGAATGATTTAGGAAAGTATCCATCTGTTAGAAGTTATAATAGTAAGGACTATGGAAACATACAGAAACATTTAGGACAGTGAAAAGAATACAAAATAGCTTGTACACTGGTTACAGTCATGTAAAATAGGCAGGGGTGTAGACAAGAATGGGGAAAACATGCAAAAATAAGTACTGTCTTTAATGAGGTGATGCTTTGTGACATTTTTCACCCTCACTACTGTTCTTATATTTTTATCTAAAAGAATTTTTTAAGTTACATTGAATGTATTTCTTTGGTCAATCTTATGTGTTTAGGATACAACAGTTAAAACAGTTACTGGAGGATTCAACATCAGATGAAGATGGGAGCAGCTCCAGTTCCTCAGAATGTAAAGAGAAACACAAGAAAAAGAAGAAGAAAGAGAAGCATAAGAAAAAGAAGAAAGAAAAGAAAAAGAAGAAAAAACGAAAGCATAAGTCTTCCAAGTCAAATGAGAGTTCAGACTCAGAGTGACAAGAGCTTGACTTGTTCAACATTCTCTTCTCAGAAATCAAACACCGTGGCCAAAGAGCAGAGGAATGTGGAATCAGAGAGGAATAGGAGAGAGAGACACCAAGAGAGGAGGAGATTTGGTGTCACAGGTGTGAATTCTCACCTACCTTCCAGTAAAGATGTGACCCCCAGAAGAGTGAGTTGTATCTTGCCAGGTGCTAGCTCTGGACAGCGGCTGATTTCAGGCTGGAAAGCTTTTCTCATTGTTCTCCTCCCTGCTGATCACTGTGGGTCCTGATTCCTTAGAAATGCCTCTGGCAGGGTGGCCAGACTAAGGGAATCTCTGAGGAAGCTCTTCCAGGTGCTGCCACAGCTTCCACCCTCCATGGTGGGGCTACTTAATACCCTTAGATTTCAGGCTTGACTTTCCTCTGTTGTTGAGGATAATAAAAGCTCGTTATTTATTTTTTTAATGTATTTATTTTTTATTTCTTAATGCATGCATGTATGTGCTCCAGATTTAAAAGGTACCTAAGGTTTACTTATGAAAACTCATACTACTTCCTTTCTCCCCCAGCTTACCAGTTCCTTCTCCCAATGGCTACCAATTTTACCAGTTTCTTGTGAAGTCTTCCAGGAATATTGTATACATCACAGACAAGCAGAGGGCTTTTTTTTTTTAACACAAGTGCTATACACATTCATCTGCACGTTATTTTTTTTAACTTAACAGTATAAAACTTATTTTTTTATTTATTTTATTTATTTATTTTTGGCTGCATTGGGTCTTCGCTGCTGTGCGCAGGCTTTCTCTAGTTGCGGTGAGCAGGGGCTTTTCTTCGCGGGCTTCTCAGTGCAGTGGCTTCTCTTGTTGCGGAGCACGGACTCTAGGCACGCGGGCCTCAGCAGTTGTGGCACGCACCCGCGGGCTCAGTAGTTATGGCTTGCAGGCTCTAGAGCGCAGGCTCAGCAGTTGTGGCACACAGGCTTAGTTGCTCTGCGGCATGTGGGATCTCCCCAGACCAGGGCTGGAACCCGTGTCCCCTGCATTGGCAGGCAGATTCTTAACCACTGCGCCACCAGGGAAACCCTAAAACTGATTTTAATATTAAGTACATCCTGCGCTGCTGCATCAAAGGTACAGTGCGTTCATAATCACCTGAGACGATTTGTTGACTGTGGGAAGGGGTTCCTATAACAATAATGAAAAATCTTGTGTGGTTACATTGTATTTAACTTGCTTGGATCTTACTGCCTCAGTCCTAAGATTTTTCCAGAGTAATTGACTCAGAAAAAATTTTAAGACTATAGGGGAATTACTATTCAGGGTCAGCTACCCACATCCCAAAATATATCCCTCACTTCCTTCCTCTTCCTGTTGGTAAGCATGGCCCACCTGTGCTCTTCTAGCTTTGTGCCACAGCAGAAGCAGCTTACCCATCAGGGTGGTGCCTGCAGCTATGGGAGAGTAAGTCCTATGGGTTGCTGAGCCAAGTGGAGCTAGATCTTGCTCACAGGTAAGTGTCCCTACCTATCCAGCAGGTCTCTTGCTGTTTTCAGGGTCCCAGGAACTTTCTATTCCCATTTCCAAACGCTTACCCTGGGGGTTGGATTCCCCCTTCTTTAAAGAACAGCCAATCCAAGCCCAGAATGGACCCACCTCTTACTCTAATCAATAAATCCTCCTGGGGGCTTCCCTGGTGGAGCAGTAGTTGAGAGTCCGCCTGCCGATGCAGGGGACACGGGTTCGTGCCCCGGTCCGGGAAGATCCCACATGCCGCGGAGCGGCTGGGCCCGTAAGCCATGGCCGCTGAGCCTGCGCATCCGGAGCCTGTGCTCCGCAACGGGAGAGGCCACAACAGGGAGAGGCCCGCATACCGCTAGCTAGCTAGCTAAATAAATAAATAAATAAATCCATCCATCCATCCATCCTCCTGGTCTTGGCCTTGGAATAGTACCTCAGTAACACAATTGTCCAGATCGGAATCACCGGGGCGTGTTATTTCTGAAAATCCTGAGGCCAGTTAAGTTAGGCATGCTCTAAACTTATCCTTGGCATCCTAGCTCAGCATGCACAGCATGGGCCATTTGTCCTCTTCTATATGTCTCGCAGTGTTTGCTACCCATTCCCAGCCTCTTCAGGGAATTTCTTACTGTCCCATTCAGGATAAAATGTTCATAAAAAATAGGAAAGAATCTGCATCAATGATTCTCAAACCTTTGGGACATCAAAATCAACTAGAGTGCTTGTTAAAACACAGATTCCTGTGCTCCCAGAATTCTAGAGTTTCTGACTCTGGGGTGGACCTGGGAATTTTCCTCTCTAACAAGTCCCCAAATGATGCTAAGGCTGTTGGTCTGGGGACCATACTTGGAGAACCACTGCTCTATATCTTTAACCTCTTACTGGAGCATTCCTGCTTTAACTGGAATCTGACCATACGCTGCAGCTTTTGTAAATTAACTACTGTCCATACTCCCTCACTGTGGTTTTATCTATCTACTCTTTCTGGCCTAGATTCTAAAGTCCATCACTTAAGCCTGTCATCTCCCTTGACCTGTGGTCCTTTTGGCCTTCTTTCTCAGAAGAACCTCGAGCCAGACTGCTAGAGAAAAATCACACAGCCATGTAGTTGTTACCCCCCTAAAGTCACCTCCAAACTCAACTTACACCATAAACCTGACTAGTTGCACGCTTTGGGTTGCTAGTCACCTGTTCAAATCTTCATCCCAAAACATCTCCCTTCAAGTTGAGCATTTTCAAGTCCTATACAGGAAGGCATTACAAGCCCTCAGACCTTCCTGCACCGAGACATCCCACCATCCATCATCATAGTTGTGGTAGGCAGAATTCTAAAATGGCCCCAGGATTTTCCCCTGTTCTCCGGGAGTGCTAAGTATGATGAATTTTACTCTGATGATTAGATTATTTTACAAGCACAAGGAAAGGGAAATTATGTGGGTGTTCCTAACCAAATCGTAAGAGCCCTTTAAAATTCCAGTGTTTTCTCTAACTGGTCACAGTATAGGGACTCAGATTTCAAGCCTGTGAGAGATTCCATGTGCCACTGCTGACTTTACAGACAGATACAGATGAAATCAGGATTACAAGGTGAGGAGTGCAGCAAACTAATTAGAGGCCCCTAATAGCCAGCAAGGAAATGGGGAACTCAGTCCCAGTGCCAAAAAAACTCAATATTGCCAACGCCAATGACCTTGGAGGCATAATCTTCACTAGAGCCTCAGGTGTGAGCCCAACCCTGCTGACAGCTTGATTTTGGTCTTGTGAGATGCTGAGAACCCAGTTAAGCTTGCCCACACTTATGACCTACAGAATGTGAGATAGTAAATGGTTGTTTTCTTAAGCCGTTAAATGTTTGTGGTAATTTGTTATGCAACAACAGAAAACTAACAGCTCAGTCACGTTTCTCTCTTCCTCCACCTGTGCTCTGGACCCCACCTGTTAGCCAGCAGTAGAGGTCAGTGATTAAAAGCACTGCCTTTGAATTCAGACCGCCTGGTTTTGAATCCCAGCTGCACCATTCGTGAACTCTCAGATTGGGCAAGGTGCGTGACCTCTCTATGCCTTCATTTCCTTGACTCATAACATTTACCCCATAGAATCAAGTGACTTGGTATTGTAAGGCATTTAGGACACATTTTGGCACATTTCAGTTGCTAAATGAATACTAGCTACTCCTGCTACTTCTTACGCTATCATCAACATCTCTTCCTGCTTTCTCGGGCATCTTCCTCCTTTCATTATCACATTTCCCATCTTCAGACTCTTTTTGACTGCTATGTTGCCCTCAGCATTTAAAAATTATTTTAAAATTATAAAATTAATACATGCTCATAAAAAGTTCCCCATTCAGGGCCATTATAAAAAGTGAGAGTCTACTTATAATGGTTTGATATAGCCTTCCAGATCTTTTAAAAAATGCATTACCGAGCTTCCCTGGTGGCGCAGTGGTTGAGAGTCTGCCTGCCGATGCAGGGGACACGGGTTCACGCCCCGGTCCGGGAAGATCCCACATGCTGCGGAGCGGCTGGGCCCGTCGGCCATGGCCGCTGAGCCTGCGTGTCCGGAGCCTGTGCTCCGCAACGGGAGAGGCCACAACAGTGAGAGGCCCGCGTACTGCAAAAAAAAAAAAAAAAAAAAATATGCATTACCAAACACATAGGCACAGGGTTATTTTATTAGTTGAAAAAACTGAAGAACACTATGAATATTGTTCTATGATTTGGTTTCACTTACTATACCTTGGCAAACTGCTTACCACAAGCTTTATTTTTTTTTAATTTTTATTTTATATTGGAGTATAGTTGATTGACAATGTTATGTTAGTTTCAGGTGTACAGCAAAGTGATTCAATTAGACATATACCTATTCTTTTTCAGGTTCTTTCCCCATTTAGGTTGTTACAGAATATTAAGTAGAGTCCCCCGTGCTATACAGTAGGTCCTTGTTGATTATCTATTTTATATGTAATAGTGTGTATATGTTAATCCCAAACACCTAATTTACCCCTCCCCCCCCACCTTTCCCCTTTGGTAACCATAAGTTTTTTTTAAGTCTGTTTCTGCTTTGTAAATAAGTTCATTTGTATCATTTTTTTTAGATTCCACATATAAGTGATATCATATGATATTTGTCTTTCTCTAACTTAGTATAATAATCTCTAGGTTCCTCCATGTTACTACAAATGGCATTATTTCATTCTTTTTAATGGCTGAGTAATAGTCCATTGTATATATGTACCACATCTTCTTTATCCATCATCTGTGGATGGATATTTAGGTTGCTTTCATGTCTTGGTTACTGTAAATAGTGCTGCAATGAAACATTGGGGTGCATGTATCTTTTGTAATTACAGTTTACTCCAGATATATGCCCAGGAGTGGGATTGCTGGATCATATGGTAGTCTTATTTTTAGTTTTTAAAGGAACCTTCATATTGTTCTCCATGGTGGCTGTACCAATTTACATTCCCACCAACAGTGTAGGAGGGTTTCCTTTTCTCCACACCCCCTCCAGCATGTTTGTACACTCTTTTTTTTAACATCTTTATTGGGGTATAATTGCTTTACAATGGTGTGTTAGTTTCTGCTTTATAACAAAGTGAATCAGTTATACATATACATATGTTCCCATATCTCTTCCCTCTTGCATCTCCCTCCCTCCCTATCCCACCCCTCCAGGCTGTCACAAAGCACCGAGCCGATATCCCTGTGCCATGCGGCTGCTTCCCACTAGCTATCTACCTTACGTTTGGTAGTGTGTATATGTCCATGACTCTCTCTCACCCTGTCACAGCTCACCATTCCCCCTCCCCATATCCTCAAGTCCGTTCTCCAGTAGGTCTGTGTCTTTATTCCTGTCTTACCCCTAGGTTCTTCATGACATTTTTTTTTCTTAAATTCCATATATATGTGTTAGCATACGGTATTTGTCTTTTTCTTTCTGACTTACTTCA